CACTTACAACACACAGTTGCGGCACAATGACACTCTGCCTCCTAAGATAGCTATGGACAGTGGGACCCTGACTAGTCTAGAAACCCAGAAGTGCCGATTTGCAGCACAAAAAAGATATAAAAAGGTAAAAAAATAGAGCAATAATTATAAAGATTATATCAGCGCACAGAAAAAGTCAATACAGTTCCAGCAGCTGGAAAACTAAGCCCCCCTGGGCAGATGAAAATATATATAAACAGGATCAGGTCCTGTTTTATACAAAAATATAATACGGTTTTTTACGTTTTCTGTAAGAGGGAGGGATAAAATAGAAAACGGTTGGCGTGAGTTTACTTCGCCTTAAGCCTGAATTGCAGGTGAATATAAAAGACCCAAAGTGATCCATCTCTGTATTCATTAATACATCATTAAATTTATTTTTTAATACAACGGTATAGGTACTTGAATTTGACTTGACTTGATAACAGTCTCTCGCAATCCCTGTACAGCAGAGCTCAGACTGAAAGAGGTCAAAGCAGCACAAAGAGCCAGTAAGATGTGTTGCAGTGGTCCTATGCTTACAGGGAACATGCTGCATAGGAGATGAGAGTGTTGTTAAGCGGTAGTCAAGTGCTGTGTCACGGCTTAGCCGCATGCTGATCTGCATGTGTACAGCCAAGTGGTTAAGGAGCATCTGTACTCTTTAACCCCATTCCTGTATAGGTTGGCCCCCTTAGCCTCAGTGAAGTGCTATGGCCATAGCAGCCTCCCATGGTCACCAATACAGAAGCACCCCTGAAAAGCCCCCAACTTGTCCTAACCAGCACCACCTAGTAGCCCCTTCTACTACTTCTTCAGGATGTATGGGAATGAACCACAATAGCACCTTCACCCACAAGCTATTCATTTCCAGATGATATTCCCACCTTGAGGGTAGGAGAAGGAAGATCCACACAATGGAAGCATTTTAACTATTTACTGAATTGCAGTTGATTTACATATATACATCTTTTCAGTTATCTCAATGATGATGGCATCCTGCAAACAGAGAACAGTAGAGATGAGAGCCGTGTCAAAGAGCCAGATTCCCACATCCCATGCCAAAGGGATGCAAGTAGTTCCATAAGTCCTGCACTTCTTTCCTTGCTTCTTCTGTAATGGGAATCTAGGGCCTGAAAGAGTACATCTTTGCATGCTTTGCTTTCCATGACTGACTTCCTTGGAGGACTCCCATCAGATTATTTTTAAAGAGCCCTCTTGACCACAGTGCCCCACATTGGCAGGGGCAGGGTTGGCACTTCCTCACTATCTATGGTACACCCCACTCACTACTCTGGGGATCTTTAGCACCTGCTTAGGCACCTACACTGCCCACTCTTTCACTCCAGGGTTCCCTTCCCTAACTATGGAAACATGTAGTCGCCAATTTGGGGATCTACACCAGGCACTTCTTAGCTTCCACCTTACAAGAGCAAGGTGACAGAAAGATAGCCTCTTCAGTCTGCTGCTCTTTTTTCATTGTCTAGTCACAGGCTAGGGGAGGGACAAGTCCTGTAATTATTACTTAAGTGCAATAGAGAAACATGAGGTCACCTGTTCTGCCAGGCAGGGCTGTGCTGTGTGCCATGGCTGTGTAAATCTCAGGACTGTATGGACATAGATACAAATCATGTGGCAGGGAAAACAATAGTGACTGCACCTGTTCATCTTCATTTTATGAACAGGCAAATGTGGATGGAATAGAGACATAATCCTAGTGCTGGTGTCTATCTTACCTTCAGTGCTGGTGATGAGGTGGGGTGCAGGTGTACGACCACATGCCTGGTTTTTAAGCAATACAAATTAGTAAAAGTCCGAATTAATGTTGTCAATTGATGGTCCCTGGAGTTCGTCTTTGATATTTTTGGAAAGGTCAGATGTCTTTTTTTTTTTTTTTTTGTAATTCTTTATTTAGACATTGAAACATTTACAAAAGAAGTGCTATCACTTCAATATACAATAAATGTGAGCAAAAGCTCCACAAGAAACCAACAATAGCGCATAAGGACGCAACATGTCAATAAATTTCCGGTATCCAATAACACTAGACTAGGTATGTTATGTCTACTACATCAGAGACTGGAAAAATACCATATATACTGGAAATGAGGGGTAATGATCCTCAAAACATTTTACTGTGAAAAATGACCTTGTTCCCTTAAACCATGGGAACAGGAAAATATTGTGAAAAATGATGTTTCAGGGAGTTAAAAAAAAAAAAGGGGGGGGGGGGGGGAGTGATGGGGGGGGGGGTGTATGGGACAGAGCGGGAATGTGCAGACAGGGCCAGGAACGGTTCTGGAGGGGTGGGGGAGCGCGACACTCCCCTACTCCATCTACTCCCCCCCCACCCCCAAAGAGCCAGCCAGCACAAAGAGCCAGGAGCAGGCAGTAACACCCAACAGATGATGCCAAAAGGGTCAAACGGGCCCAAGGATAGCAGGCATTAAGTCCAGGTATTGCACTGAGTATGTGTACACAGTCGGCCGACACGTCTCCCTAAATGCGTCTTCCTTATTATTAAGGGAGGCAGTTAGACTTCCATAGATCTGATTTCACTCAGCCTTGCAAACCGATACCTCATAGTTGGAGGGGAGGTTTGCTTCCATAAGTTGGGAATGCACCGCATTCAATAGGTAGACTGTCAAGGAACATTTATAGTGACGTAAGGCCACACAGTTGAGATATAATAGGTAGGCTGATGGATCTGTACCCAGGTCCACTGAGGTCAAATGTGATACTAAGTTCCTCACTCCCTTCCAAAACTGATTCAGCAGAGGGTATTGCCAAAAAATATGTAACAGTGTGCCTGCTTCCTTCTGGCATTGTCAACACAACCTGGAGACCGTGGGGTATAAAAATTGTTCAGTAGCACTGGGACCCTATACCACCTGGACAAGAGTTTGTATCCATGCTCTTGGAAAAGGTTAGCAATTGAATATTTGTGTGCTCGTTGAATGATTCGGGCTACTTGTTCCCTAGAGAAAAACACCTGCAAGTCAGTCTCCCAATTGCACACATAAGGAGAGACAAAGTCCTCCTCTGGCGTATTCAGCATTTTGTACAAGATGGATAAGAGGTGAGGTGTATATTCCTATGTGGCACATGAATGTTCAAAGGGGGTGAGTGATCTCACATACAGGCCCAGATCTGGTATAGATTGCAAGAAGCAGTGGCGGACTGACCATTTGGAAACTCGGGCACTGCCCGAGGGCCCGGGGTCAGTAGGGGGCCCCATGGGATGCCCCTGGTACCTTTCTTCATAGGCTTTTTTGAGTTTGGGCAAGGACACAGGGGCCCCATGATCACCTATTGCCTGGGGGCCCCATGAGTTGTCAGTCCGCCCCTGGCAAGAAGTGACACAATTGGTGAGCCAACCAAGAACTCAGTGGGGGTTGTACTAGAGTGCTAATTGCTTGGAGAGGCATCCAACCCTGACGAGTCGTAAAGTCGTAATAGCTGCCTATTGTTGATTTCTGAATGAAAGGCAGGGTTGGAGATCACTGGGGTAAGGGGGAGAGATATGGGGACAAACCTTTTTGTTGAAGAGTCTGCTGGGCAACCTTAATAGTGGCTCCCACAGTAGGGTGACTTTTAAGAGAACGGTAATATTTCACCAGGTCAGCTGGTTTTGAAGATAAAGGATAAGAGTAATTATATCCTCCAGCGTATATTTTTCCATTTGGCGTGTTAGATGAATTCTCCATAGAGCAGTATTTACAGCACAAGCTTGAAGTCGTTGTAAGCCTCAGACGTGAAAGATGAACAAAGCATATCCCTCTATAGTGTGTACTTATCTCAGCCCAGAGCACTAAGTGTCATTTCTTCCTGCTGCCTCATTCTACTGTTATCTGTATGAGTCACTTGTGACAAGTTTTCCTGACACCAAGAGAAAGATGGTGATGGGGAGGGACCTCCAGCAGATTGACAGCCTCAGCTCTGTTCCTGTGAACTTTGTGAAGGGGTGTGTCTCTTCCCTCCAATCATCTCTCAGAGCTCTCCTCACTGAACTCTGCAGTGTGTGATTTCAGCTCTCTACCACCTTCTTTTTGAACTCTGACAAGATGTATAAGCTCAGCCCTTTGAATGGATGTAGAAAAGAGAAGACTGCAGATAAACAGGTACATCCTATGTAGAAGGATTTGTTTCATCTCTGTGTATCACCTGAGGCCAGTCACTTCACTGGGTATATGTAAGGATATACAACCACTTTAAAGCTGAGGTTTAATCTGCTTATTATGCTTTCCCCGGCTCTTCTCTTCCCCCCTCATCAACATGCTAATAAGATTAAAAAAAAACAACAACTTTACAATTTTATCACATTCCAAATATAGACTCAGTGATGCCATCACTGAGTTTCTGTGCTTCTCTAGGTAGATGTAGGTAGATTGTGGCCGATGAGAGGGACCAACAGGAAGCTGTACATAGCTTCTTAAAAACATTGCAGCACCTTTCCCTTAGTATTCCTCTCAAGAGCCCTCAACACTGATGCAAGTTGTGGGCTGATTCTTGGAAGGAGTTATGTAAATATCAAATGGGCTGATGGGTGGGTGGCAGCCTGGAGGAGTGGGCCTGCATGGGCAGTCTGCATTTGTATCCAGACCATCCTAGGTAATGCCCATTTGTTATGCTGGGTCTCCGTCGTGGACAAAACTGGAATCCAATAAATGAAAGAGACCAGGGACATTTTCTTGGGGTAGGAAAGAGCTAGCTGATGCTGGATTTCCTCCAGGCAGGAAATTAGATGGATGTATCTGACTTGCTGTAGGTTTTAATGCACACTGTAAGAAACTCACAGTGTGCAATTATAGCAAGTAATTTTAGTGCAGGAGAGGAGCCGGTACAATTGTGCAAGACTACAGAGCAGGCTGGAGTTTAGCTTTACGTGTACCTGTTAATTTGCCCTGCATGGTTCACTTTGAGTCTTCTTTACATTAATCTAGATGCTGTGCTCATTGCCATATTATGTTTCCTCCATTCAGGATATAGATGGATTGGAAGTAGTTGGACGTGGGCAGCCTTTTTCATGCGTTTCTGCAAAACACTTCCCTTTTTTACATGAGCAACACCAAGAAACCCCTACAGAAGAGAAAGAGAACCTGTAAGTATGCAAGGAGATAAAGCCTATATTGCTTTTTTGTAGTCAAAACAGAATGACTTTAGATATTTCTATAGTTCTATGGATATTTTTCCCTGAGATGTCATCCGTTCTTATAGGGATCCACTCCAAGATTACCCTGATGTAGTTGCAGACGTTGTCTTCGGCCCGTCGTTGCTTTTCTGTGGGCAACCAGCAATCTGGGTTGATGATCCAGTCTCTCACAGGGTAAAAAGTGTATACATATATTTCTTCTCAGATTTTACACTGCTGTGCCTAAGACTTCTCCTTATATTAAAGTGGAGCCAAAGCCAGCTCTTTAATTTAGTGTTGGGTAGAGTATACATTGATTAAAGCCCAGCTCCAGGAAAGGTAAAAGTCCTCTCTTTCAGTGGAGGTGTGCCTACACCGGAAGAGTTTAAGTGGAAGGCAAGTCAAAACCTAACTAAGCTTCAATCGACTCACACCCTATTCTAAGCCTATTCTATCTACCTGTGAAAGGTAGGATGTCTATACTTGCCTATTTTGAGGGTCCTCTGGTCACATGATCGGGTCCCAGCACTGGCTTCAGCTGACAATGGATGCCTATAGTAATCCTATGGGTGACGTAATTGCACAGGTGATTTCTCCTCTTCACTGAAGCCGGTGCTGGAGAGATTATGTGACCAGATTGGCTTCAGAATAGGTAAGTATACACCTCTTTCCTTTTTCAAGGTAGATATAATAGGGTTAAAATAGGGGTGGAATTAGATTTAAGCTTAGCTAGATTTTGATTTGCCTTTCACTTTAAAGTGGAGTTTCACCTGAAAAACAGAAAAAAAGTCAGCAGCTTCAAAAACTGTAGCTGCTGACTTTTGAAATACAGACGCTTATCTGTCCCTCGGTCCAGCGGTGTCCTCACCACCCCTGGTTTTACCGGCCGTCTTCTCTCCCTGGTGTTGGCATCTTGAGTGTGGGCTGTGACAGCTTGCGGGCCGGGTGCCCACTGCTCATGCATGAGAAGCGCTGCACTTTGTGAATGGCCCCGTATGTCTTCTGGGACCTGTCACGTGTCCCAGAAGACGCCGGACCATTCACAAAGCGCGGGGGAGGGAGGACAACTTCCACTTCGCTATCGAAGTGGGAGCGGGTATCTGTTAAATTCGGGTACCTGCTCCCCAAAGATGCCAATCCTTAATGGAGAGCGGGGGACAAAGGCTTAAAGCGGAACTTCCCCTTTGGGTGGAGCTTCACTTTAAATGCTCATTTAGTCTAGAGCAGGGGTCGCCAAACTTTCTAAACAAAGGGCCAGTTTACTGTCCTTCAGACTTTAGGGGGGGCCGGTCTGTGGCCATTGGCAGTTGAAATTGTCTTGGTGTCAGTGGGAGTAAACAATGCATCTTTGGTATTATGGGGAGGAATAGTGCCCCATTGCTGGTGTCATTGGGAGGAATAGTGCCCTATCGGTGTCAGTTTGAGTGCCTCATCAATTGGTGTCAGTGGGAGGAATAGTACCCTGATGTTGGTGTCAGTGGGAGAAATAGGACCCCATTGTTGGTGTCAATGGGCCCCATTGCTGATGTCAGTAGCCAGAATTATGCCCCATTGATGGTGTAAGTGGGAGGAATAGTGTCTTGAATCAGTGGAAGTAAAAGTGCCTCAAGGACAGATAAAGGCAAGAAAAGGGTTGCAGTTTGGAGACCACTGGTCTAGAGGACAGTAAAAGCACTTTTACATTACCTGATCCTCCGCTCTGCAGGAAAACTGCACTACCTATGTTCCAGCAGAGGAATGACCCTCTGATTCCTCATGAGGTCTGCACTGGCCTTCATAAGGGCATCCAACCCGCCAAAGTTTACAGTAGAGGAGGGGAGGCTGCAGGGACTGCAGGAGCAGAGGATCAGGAATGTAAAGCTGTTTCACCCAGTCCTCTAGACCTAAACAAGTAGTTAACCCTTGCAGACTGTGCACAACCTCCCTGCAAAGAAACTTTTGATTTTTCTGGAAATCGGTTTTAAAGCTTGTATTTTGCTTGCTCTAACTCCTCTCTCCCGCCTTCATCAAGATGCTAATGAAATTCTTATATAAAACCTTTCTATATAAAACCTTTAGGGTTGGTAGGGTGCTGAAAACATCAAAGCACCCTGCCTCAGTACCATTTTTTTACAGTAGTCTTCCTTGATGTAGACAAACATGCAGATGCTAATAAAAATTGTTGGCCGCTAATGTAACAATAAATAAACAGCTGAGCATGGTTTTATTTTTTATATTATTTTTCATATTATTCTAATTTATTATGATTTTCCAGCAGGATTGATTGTCCTTTTAATACGAAAAGACTGTTGATGAAAACAATTGTTTAGTGCAGTGGATTTCTAAAAGATTTGATACCTTTATTGAAATGATAATTAAACCCTACAGTTGCATTGCTACTTGTATGGCCAGCATAAGGCTAAAGGAAAGGACTAAGGGCCCATTCACAATTGTGTGCTGTGGCAACATGTGCTAAAATGCACCCATTACCGTTACCACAACGTTGAGGCTTCCATTTTTTTCCTTTTACTTCCAGGACAAAGCTGGCATCTCTACACGTATCACCTTTGAAGCTCTTGCTGGAGAGAAAGCCTCATCGGTAATAGAGGTGGTCAACAATGGAAGTGCAGCTATTTGGTATGAATGGAGGCGATTGCCCAATACTGGCAATCTGGAAGAATGCCACAAAGAGACACGAGTACAACATTTCTATTTCAACACAAGCGCTGGTAAGGTGACATTGACAGCATGTTATGCTAGTACAGTAGATAGGATAGGGCCATTCCACCCAGAGGCAGTATTTTAGTCTTAGGTATTCACCATGGGTCACCTACAAAATTTCATATTTCTTGGGGCTTTTGGCAGTGGGATCTCAGTATTCAGGACCACTCAGCTGCCATGAAGAGGGATTGTAGAATTTTTATTGGATTTTGGTTGTGTTCATTTTTAAATGTTGGCCCTAACCCCAGAAACTTCACTAAGTCTTATACCTATCTGCTGGGAGCCACTCAGGCCTTCCATGGAAAGTGATGTTACTGGGCTCTCCATTCGTTCCTATGGAAAGGCCATCCATAGCTGCAACAACTTCATAGGAATGAATTGACATTCTTCTACGCATGAACAGAACAAGAGTCCAGCCAGGAGACTTTCCGTGGAAAAATTGTGTGGCAAGTATGTATAGGATTTGGGGGATTATCCTTTAACCCAGCCTTCCTCAATACTTTTGACATGAAGAAACCCATGAAATAACTTTCAGATTTCAGGGAGTAAACCTCATACTAACATGTACTATGTCTGCAGCTCATGGTACATTAGCCAGCTCTACATGTAACAAATATTTTCAGAAATATTGAAATTAAATTATTAATAATAATAGTGATTAGAAAAAATGCAGCCATTGAAAACTGTATTCTCACATTGGTGGTCAGCGGAATAATACCCGTACATTGATCAGTGGAGTAGTGCCCCTTACATTGGTGGTCACTGTAGTGCTCCTTTACTATGACTGTCAGTGTAGTGCCCCTTACATTGGTGGCTAATGTAGTGCCTCGTACATTGGTGGTCAGTGTAGTGCCCCATTACATTGGTCATCAGTGTAGTGTCCTCTTACTCTGGTGGTCAGTGTAATGATTTTTACATTTTTGGTTGGAGTTATACCCCTTACATTTGTGGGGAGTGTAGTCCCACCTTACTGGTGATCATTGCAGTGTCACCTTACATTGGTGCTCAGTGTAGTGCCCCATTACATTGGTCATCAGTGTAGTGTCCTCTTACTCTGGTGGTCAGTGTAATGATTTTTACATTTTTGGTTGGAGTTATACCCCCTTACATTTGTGGGGAGTGTAGTCCCACCTTACTGGTGATCATTGCAGTGTCACCTTACATTGGTGCTCAGTGTAGTGCCCCATTACATTGGTCGTCAGTGTAGTGTCCTCTTACTCTGGTGGTCAGTGTAGTGATTTTTTTACATTTTTGGTTGGAGTTATACCCCTTTACATTTGTGGGGAGTGTAGTCCCACCTTACTGGTGATCATTGTAGTGTCACCTTACATTGGTGCTCAGCGTAGTGCCACCTAACTGGTGGTTATTGTAGTGAAATCCTTTATTGGTAATCGGTGTAGTGCCACCTTACATTAGTGGTCATTGTAGTGTCACTTTACATTGGTGGTCAGTAAAGTGCTCCATTGCATTGGTGATCATTGGGAGATGGGTCTTACACTGATGGCCAGTGGGAGAACAGCCCCATCACAATAGAGGTCAGTGGGAAGAATGTCCTTAGCTAAAAAAGTCATTGCTGTTAGTAACTTATCTGAGAGTCAGAAATTGCTTAAGGAACCCCTGGAACTTTTGAAAGAACCCTGGCATTCCAAGGAACTCTGGCTGAGAATGACTACCCTTTAGCATCTGAAGGTAACCAAAACCCAGGCCATATGTTGCAATAACATATGACTAAGCCCTGGTGGGCAGGGTGAAATGTGTCACGGGGGAGGGGGTTGGGGGGAGTGTGTGGTATTGGCAGAGACATGTAGGCTGAGGTGGCTCCATACTTCAACTTTACACCAGTTGGTCTGTAGAGCAGTGTCTTCTTTTAATTACTTCTTCTAATCACTCAGTGCAATATCTCCAGTGATAAAATATATAACACTTCTTCTGATCACTCCACTCCTCCTCCACTGTAAGTGCTTCGCTCAAGATGTGCGCTCGCCTTAACGGAATGACCTACGTATTATAGAGATCATTTAAAGCTTTTTTTCCCCACTTCCTCACCATCACAGAAGGCAAGAAAAAACATAGCACATATTGTTTTTTAATTTTAAAACCATATGTATTAAAAAATTTTTAAAGGGTAAGTTCACCTTTTAACAAAAAATAATAAATGCACATTTTTTAGCAGGTAAAAAAAATGTGCATTTACAATTTTTTGTTTTTTGGAGCCTCTAAAGCATTGCACCAGCGATCAGCAGATCGCTGGTGCCATGCAGGTCTCCCTCTGACCTGTCACTGTATCTGCTTGCTCGTACATCCCCTACGGGCAAGCAGATACTTACTGACAGGAATGCTCAATGAAGTACCGTGGTGCTGTGGAGCGCCGTGGTAGTTCATTAAGAACTACAAGCAGAGAGCCGCACAGGCTGTCAGAACTTGTAGTTTTCCCATTCACAGAGCACTGTGAATGAGTGACATGGCTGGGAGGGCAGAGCCCCGCCCACCCATGTGTATTTAAAATTGTGACAGCTAGCGGGGAGGAAAAGATCCCCCTGCTAGCTGTCACAACAGGAAAGGGGGGGGGGGGTCTGGTCTGTTCATTACATGTTACTCTCTGAATATGGGTGTGAACTTTCCTTCAAAACCACATACATTTATTAATGCACCATTTACTAGTTGCACACAGGTAAACCTCAATGTTAGCAAACACCTCTACTTGGCATACAGCTTCTGTCAAAAACCTATAATTCCATCTACTTCCATATTTGTCCACTATTATATATCACTAAGCCCTGGGACGCATTTCGTCTACTTGACGTATGCTTAGTGCATAATGTATTTTGTATTAATTATACTATTCCAAATATTTTCAAAAATGTATTTTCTCTACTTATCACAGGGATCCCAAATATGAGTCAGTTTTGATACATATGTCAGTGTTGTATGGTCAATAAACAAGTATATATACTTTAGATCCCTAGATTAGGCATTTTCCAGTACAATGGCTGAAATTCACCTATCGGCATGCAACAATGTAAATGTTCTGCCTTGTCATTTTAAACTGGTTAAAAATATATTATTTAGGTGAGTCAGCTTAATAAATAACATATTTTTACTGTGTACCTAGGGCCGGTGCCACCATAAGGCGGCTTAGGCAGCCGCCTGAGGGCAGCCTGCTAAAGGCGCAGTAAGATCTGAATCCCCAGCCACTTGCCGGGGTTCGGATTTTAAAGGGAATCCCTCCAGCAATTCGCAGATCCCGGCACTAGCCCAGAAGTTTTGTGCCTGCTTCCGCCTGCATCCACATAGGATCGGCCAGACCAGAGCCCCAGAGAATGCTAAGCCCGACTGTGAATGGAGGGGGTGGGGAGCGGATCAGGCCCACTGACATTTACCTTGTCAATGCTTGGGGCAGGGGTATGGTGAGCAGGCAGATAGCCCTTCTCTTCTCTGTCTATCTGCTAACCTGGCTGCAAGGGCTCAGAATGGTGCTGAGCTTTGTATGGGTGGAGGGCAAACACCGGCCTGGCCTTGACCAGATCCCAGCATTCTGCTCTCCTCCTCAGATATATCCAGTATCCTCCTCTGTATCTTTCAGCACCTGCCACTGTAAGCGGCCCTCATGGGGGAGGAAGAGCAGCTTAGGAGATCAAGTAAGAGGAGGACGGGGAATGTGGGGATGCTAAATAGCACTTCTACTGACCACCAATGTGTATGGGGGGGTTGACACTATATTGAGGGTTATTATGGTGGCCACTGACACCAATGCTAGGGGTTGTTATTGCAGCCACTGACGCCAATGCTGGGGGTTATTATGGCGGCCATTGACGCCAATGCTGGGGGTTATTATAGCGGTCACTGACACCAATGCTGGGGGTTATTATGGTGGTCACTAACACCAATGCTAGGGGTTGTTACAGCCACTGATGCCAATGCTGGGGATTATTATGACGGCCACTGACACCAATGCTGGGGGTTATATTGGCGGTCACTGACACCAATGCTGGGGGTTATTATGGTGGTCACTAACACCAATGCTGGGGGTTCTTATGGCGATCACCGACACCAATGCTATGAGTTGTTATTGTAGCCACTGACACCAATGCTGGTAATTATTGCAGCCACTGCACCAATGCTGGGGATTGTTATTGCAGCCACTGACGCCAGTGCTGGGAGTTGTCATCGGAGCAATTGACGCCAATTCTGAGGGTTATTATGGCATCCACCGACAGCAATGATTATTATGGCAGCCACCGACAGCAATGCTGGGGATTATTATGGCAGTCATTGACACCAATGCTGGGGATTATTATGGCAATCATTGACACCAATACTGGGAGTTGTTTATGGCAGTCACTGACACCAATGCTTAGGGTTGTTTTTGCAGCCACTGACACCAATTCTGGGATTTATTATTGCTGCCACTGACACCAATACTGAGGGTTATTATTGCAGCCACTGACACCATATTTGAGGGTTATTATTGCAGCCACTTGCACCAATGCTGGGTTTTTTTTTATTGCAGCCACTGACACCACTCCTGGGGGGTTTTATTGCAGCTACTGACACCACTGCTGGGGGGTTTTATTGCAGCTACTGACACCATAGTTGGGGGTTATTATTGTGGCCTTTGACACTGATGCTGGGAGTAATTATTGTGGCCATGGAAACCAGTGCTGGGGGTTATTACTGCAGCCACTGAACCATTATAGTCTAATGGAGCACAAATAATGTTTATGCCATATGCAGGTGGGGGTCGCATTGTAGAGGGGAGGGGGATGGCGGGAGGACAGTTGAAAGAGAAAGGGGGGCACCAAAATGCACCTTCGCCTGTGTAGGCAAAATCCTTGCACCTGCCCTGTGTGTATTTTGCCTAATATTTTCACATTTGTGACCGGGGAGTCGAAATGCTCACAGAAGAATGCTAAAGCTGACGATAGATGATTTTCAACTGTGTGGATGAATAAGTTCCTTCATCCACACAGTTGAAGTGGACAGAGGAATCCTTCCTGCTGGGACACTGCATTCATTGGGACCCTCCGCTTTCAGAATACACTGCTGACTGATGGAGGAAAATTTTCCAACAAGCCCCAATCTAACAATCATCTTCTGTCAAACATGAATGGCCACATATGGATCAAAAGTCGGAAAGTCCTTGCGGAACTGGGTGCATTTCAATCCATCTGTGGCCAGCTTTAGTTTTGAAGAGCACCGTAAGTAAAACTGAACTTTGATAAACACAGGGACTAGCATTGCTGAACACCTCCGGAAAATGCTGTTTGCCTGACTGTCATACCAATGCAACGGCTTCACGTCTTTCCCAGACATTGACCTGGAACAAGCATGCAGATATGGAAATTCAGCATGATGTCAGAACCTACTTGCTCTAGGTCCGTGACTCTAAATGCACTGAAACTTTTGGATCAGAATGACAGCCAGGAAGCAATGGCAAACTCCATATTTGGTATAGGTTTCCTGTAAAGTGATACTAAACACACTCTATTTAATTTACATCATCCCGTCTCTTTCTCTATATTGATGATGGCACTGTATTATTTTTTAATTAAACAAACCAACATCTAAGTAGCTTTTTTCCAATCGATATACAGCTGTCAGATGACCCAGCTCATTCCCAAGGAAACATAAGAAGGAGGAGCTTCTAGTCCTCTGCTGCTGGTCTCATGTTCAAAATTAAAAAAAAAAAGCCTTTGTGATACAGAGTAAAAATAAATATTTAATATCAAACAGTTTTAAATCGTCATACAAATAAATATTTGACTTTAAATCTTTAGTATTTTGTGGCAATAACATGGTGTGGGTGGATTTCTTCCAGTTACAGGCTGTGTCATGCCCCTCCAGCCTGTGTCTTTGAATAACAGAGAGGTGAAGCCTCCATCATTCAAGATATAATATCCCTTCCCTCATTGTGTTTAGCTGGTTAGTGGACATGGAGGAGGAGGGAGGGAGGGGTGGGCTTTCATTTACCACCCACATGTATGACTCTATAGTCTGAAATAAATAATAGGGGGTTGTTTTCTGGACTTCCCCTATTTATTCTACAATTATGTACTACTTGTCTGTTCCTATAGTTACTTAGTAAATATGTAAGCTTTGACAATATTGAAGGACATAATACACTGCAGTATTTGCTATAATAACAAACACAATGCTCAAAGTAGCTGCTCAGATGTGATAGGGAGGAAAGGCTCAACAGAAACTCACTGAAAAAACTGAGCATGTGTGGTAGCTGCCAACACTGCTCTGCAAAATCCACAATTGCATTGGGGACATGGACGAAGGAATAGAAAGACCAGGTTTTTTTTTGCAGAAAATGAATCCCATAGTTACATAGTATGAACAGCATACAACATTTATTGATAGTTTTTTTTATGATGTGGGTTTAGTGACACTTTAACCATTAGCCGCCCGGCCAATGGCCGTTTGGCGGCTTCAATTGTGTCCCTGCATTCCGGGTGCACGCCATTTGGCGTGCTCCCGCACATGCGCCGTTTGTGCTAATGCAGAGCGGCGCAGCAGTGCGATCTGTCAGCGGCCGTGCACCTCGGACACGGCCGATGACAGATCCGAGTACCGGCTCCCGTTGCTGGTACCATGTGACCTGCTGTGACCAATCACAGCAGGTCACATGACAGTTGTATACAATGGATGGCTTCATTCATGATGCCATCCATTGTATACTAGTGCACATGTCATGTGATTAGCTGTGACCAAATCACAGCTAAGCACAAAAAAAAAAAAAGAAAAGCTGAATGAATCGATTTCATTCAGGTAAATGCTTGCTTATAGCAAAGTAATTCTTTGCTATAAGCAAATTGTGTAAAAAAAAAAAAAAAAAAAAAATACTGATCACTTCCCCAAAGTAGTACAATGTTACTATGGTAACATTGCACTACTTTGGTCAAAGTAAAATATGAAAAAAAAATCTTAAAAAAAAAAAAAAAAATGTAATAAAAAATTAAATATAAAAAAAAAATAAAAAAAAAATTTAAAAAAAAAAATATATTTTTTTTTCATACTGTCACCAGTCAGTGTCCCTGTTCACCGCCATGCCAGTTATATGATGACGCTGTACTGCACTGGTGACAGTATGTAAAAAAAAAATATAGTGAAAATAATTTTTTTAATTTTTTCATTTTCCGAAAAATTATGACAAAAAAAATACAACTTCAAAAAACTCGCCATACCTCTTATGAAGTACGTCGGACTGTCTACTCTGCAAAAAGGGGTCATTTGGGGGATATCTGTACTGTTCTGACATTCTTGGACCTCAAGAAATTAGATTGGCCGTCAGTACTTCAGGATTGATCAATATTCAGATCTATACCATAGTTTGTGAACTCTATAACTTTCCTACAAACTAAATAATACATCCTAATTTGGGTTATTTTCACCAAAGACATGTAGCAGAATACATCTCGGCCTAAATTTATGAAGAACAATTATTTATTTGTAAACTTTTATAACAGAAACAAAGAAAAATGTGTGTTTTTTTTCAAAATTTTTGGTCTTTTTTTGTTAATTTAGCAAAAAATAAAAACCCCAGCGGTGATTAAATACCACCAAAAGAAAGCTCTAGTTGTGTGAAGAAAATGATAAAATTTTAGTTTGGGTACAATGTTGTATGACCGCGCAATTGTCATTCAAAGTGTGAGAGCGCTGAAACCTGAAAACTGGCCTGGGCAGGAAGGTGTAAAATTGCACGGTATTGAAACGGTTAATATGGACAATGACAGACTAAGTGGAAAAATGTTAGCCAGGCAGAGAATTTCTGTTCCTATACAGACAACAAAAGGCTACAACGTTCATTAGATTGTAAGCTCCACGAGCCGGGCCCTCATATTCCTTCTTTACTGAAATGTATTGTAATTGTATTGTCTCCCTTATATTGTAAAGCGATGCGCAAACTGTTGGTGCTATATAAATCCTGTATAATAATAATTATTTACAATACATATGTAATGCTCTGCGTAAATTGTTGTGCTATATGTGATGAGTAAAAAATAAAATAATTTATCATAACAGCATTATTTTTAGAAATAGGAACCAATGAGAGCTGAAAATAACAACCACACGACTGCAAATAATAATCCTTACAGCGCATACACATGGATAATAACTTGAATCTAAAGTGCAATGAAGAGTACTTTAGAAGTGAGCGAGTAATGGAAAATCTGCTCCACGCATCAAGGCTACACAGTTTGGTTTCCCAGACAATGACATATCAAATATAATCAAAAAGCAAAATCTTGATAGTTATTGTATAAAAAAAATGCTGTAAGAGGTAGAAGTGTGATCGTTACTGTGGTAGAAAAGCACAGAGAAATTTATTTAAAGAGACCCTGTTACCAATTTTAAAAATGTGCAAGTAAATGCACAATAAATTAAGTGGTATAAATGCTTACTTTTTTTTTTTTTCTTTTCAGAAATAATTTTTTATTTACTTGCAATGTACCTCTTAAATTGATAACAAATTTGACTATTTCAGGAAGTGTCAATTCCTTAGCACAGCCCCATTTCCTTCTGCCATGTCATAGCCCTCTCCCCTTCTAGGAGTAACCTACTACCAGGGGCGGACTGACCATTTGGAAACTCGGGCACTGCCTGAGGGCCCGGGGTCAGTAGGGGGCCCCATGAGATGCCCCTGGTACCTTTTTCATAGGCTTATTTGAGTTTGGGCAAGGACTCAGGGGCCCCATGATCCCCTATTGGCCAGGGGCCCCATAAGTTGTCAGTCCGCCCCTGCCTACTACTGCGTGTACTGGCCTAGCTCCTCCACCCTTCCCCTCATCTCCCTACATAACCTTTTGTATGTAGCAGCCAGGGAGGGTTTGAAGGGGAATAATAGAGTGTGACTTTACAGGATATGCACCAACCAAATTCTAATTTATGTTTTTTGATCGTTTAAGCAATTTCTGAACTGCCTTATTTGCAGGTGTGATCCTGCCAGGAGAGACGCAGGCCTTCCCTTTCTATTTCAAGTCCCCGACTGCAGGGATATTTGGGGAGAACTGGGAGTTCTGCACACACCCGGTGCTATTGGCTGGTGCTCTGATACAAGTATCTCTATGGGGAATCGCTCTGTATGAAGACAAGACCGCCCCTATGAGGGAGGAGCTACAGGTCAGAAGCTTCATTTATCACTTGTTTTTACTAACATGGGTTGATATTGATATCTATGTCTACATGAATACGTTCCTTATAGGTCGCAAACTACAGCAGTACTGTCCTGTTTTAAAAAAAAACTCTACCTTTTATCATTAAAAAGCCATCCTTTGCCTATGAGATGATGTCATCAGTCTGCTGCAGAGAGAGGAAGCATTTCCTTAGTCTCCTCTCCCCAGTGATCAGTCTTCAATATCACAACAGTCTTTTGGCTCTTTCTACCAAAAAACTACAAGCTGGCAGTTTTTTTTTTCTTTTAAACAAAAAATCACCAGCGCCAAAAGATATTGTGAAATAATTCCCAAAAAAATGCTGCTGCTCCTTGGTGAAAACATAAAAAACAGCGCAAATAAATATTAAATGTGCAACTCAAAAAATTTTTTAAAATAAATGTGCAACTCCAAAAAAATGTTTTAAATAATGCAGAGAAAAATTATATTGTTGAATTGTCCCACTCCAAAAGTCTTTATTCCAAGATCCTCGTCCAGACCTGGAGACGAAACGCGTTGATGCATTTCCGGCTTCGCCGTACAACGTACTACATCACTTCAGCTTCCTATGGCGAGTGATTTCTGGTGGTCCTGGAGGGTGGAGGCTGATTTAAAGTACAGTTTGGAGTTCTGAGGCATTTGTCTTACCTACAATTGGATGATTTCTATCTCTACCTGGTGATTGGAGGCTGATTTGAGGGGATCTAGGATTTCTGAGCCCAAATCTAAGGTTTTTTTTTACCAATATCTGGTGAGTGCGGTATGTGATTATAGCACAAACGGGTGTGAATAATGGTCAAGGGTATTATTATACAGTATTTATAAAGCGCCAATAGTTCGCTCAGCGCTGTACATTACAAAGGGGGACAGAACATGTGACAGAACAATACCAATACAATGCAAAACATGAGGGGATCGAGGGCCCTGCTCTTTGGAGCTTACAATCTAGGAGGGAGGGGATGGTGGCACAGGAGGAGATAGCTGTGGGGGATGGAGTGGTAGGAAGAGTGGAGGAGGTCGGCAAGTTAGCAGGGGGTGGGGTAGGTTTCCCTGAAGAGATGGGTTTTCAGGGTGCGCCTAAAGGAAAGGAGAGTAGGTGATAATCTGATGGGTTGGGGCAGGGAGTTCCAGAGGATGGGTGACACCCTGGAGAAGTCCTGGAGTGGGACTATTCAACAATATAATTTTTCTCTGTATTATTTAAAAAATTTTTTGAGTTGCGCATTTAATATTTATTTGCACTTTTTTATGTTTTTTGTAGTTTTTTTTCTTTAACCTGTTTTCAACCATCGTACGTTTATAAACGGTGGATTGGAGGATTGTTGGATTTTGTAAGTATTCTTATAAACATTGATGGAGTAAATACCCTTGTACAGGCCATTGCATCTGCAAATTGCTGTGCTGCTCCAAGCAGTCATTAAATGGCTCACACCTTTTTCTTTTTATACAAGTGATCACATTCCCTCTGGTCTCAACTGCATAGAGAGCAAAGAGAAACATCAATACACTGATCTCCCCAGTGAATGGCTGTGCAGGGGAGGGGGTGTCAGCAGAGGTTTGATCAGTGGAGGAAAGCAGATTCAGTTCCCAGAACAGTTATAGAACTAATACGCTATGATCTCATGCTTAGTGTGGTCAGTTTTTAAATAGGTAAGCAGAGGGACTGGCAGGGATTTCTCACAAAGGAAGCAATACAAAAAGAACAGGATTTTTTTTAAACCCTATTTTTTATGCTTTACCTAAGGTTTAACTGTAGGTTCTGTAAATATCTCCTAAACGTGCACTGTTAAGGAGATATTTACTATAGCAGCGCCAGTGATGTCACTGGCACATGCGCACTGCGCTCTCAATGGATGGCGTGCATACAAGCACATTATGCTCTTAACTTGCAGGGGGACGTTTTTTCAGATATTACCGCTTTAACACAGGTATATGGTACAGCAAGCACATATCAGGAATATGAAAATGTTGGGTTTTCATATTCTTTAAAGGTGAACTGAAGTTGTAAAAAACAGCAAGCAGGTAAGCTTTTCTTGCAGATGTGCAGCTTGTTTACAGCACTGGGCTGGTCTTTGGGTCCTGGAATGATGGCCCCCTGTGCATGTACAGAAGTGATGTTATCCTGCGCTGGCCAATGAAAAGGTCTGAAGACTGGCATTCAGAAGAAGATGCTGGAGCTGGAGAGGGACTGCTGGACAGGTGAGTATTCATCCTTCAGTTCTGCTTTAAAGTGTTACTAAACCTACAACAGTAAAATCAGTCTGTAGATGCAGTAAAGCATGCTTGTGGAACTCACTGTGGAACCTAAGGGGTAATTCTCCACATTGTGTAAAAAAGATGTTTGATCCTCTCTTCTCTGATCCTCCCCGTTTTCCATTGTCCCTTAAAGTGGAGCTCCACCTAAAAGGGAAAGTTTCACCTTAAGCCTTTGCCCCCCACTCCTCATTAAGGATTGTCACCTTTGGGGAGCGGGTACCCGAATTTTGCAAGTACACACTCCCACTTCCGATAGCCTAGGCGATCGAAAGCAGAAGTTGTCCTCCCCCCCCCCCTCCCTCCCCGTAGTCTTCTGGGACACTTGACAGGTCCCTAAAGACTACAGGGCCATTCACAAAGCGCAGTGCTTCTTGCACATGCGCAGTGGGCACCCAGTTGTGAAGCCACAGGCTGTCACAGCTGGGTGCCCATACTGAAGATGCCGGCGCCAGGAAGAGAAGACGGCTGGTGAAACCAGCTGTGGTGAGGATACGGCTGGATCATGGGACAGGTAAGTGTCTGAATTTTAAAAGTCAGCAGCTACAGTTTTTGTAGCTGCTGACTTTAATTTTTTTTCAGGTGAAACTCCGCTTTAAATATCTCCTGATAGAACGGAGGATTGGAGTCACTTTGTACATGCTCAATTTGGAGTGTATTGCTAGACAGAGGTTTTTTTTTTTTTCTTGGGAGAGTACATGTGATCAGCACGGGCCAATCAGCACTGTCCAGACAGAGGTCAGGGATCCTGCATCCTCTTAGAGGAGAATGAAATCTCCTGCACATTTTAACCAGTGCTCTGCTGGACATTGATAGAAGTCACAAGACTGCTCCAACTGCTGATAAGAAAAGCTATTTGGCAGCTTATATTTACTAAAATAATTGCATTTCCTTGTTCTGTGTATTGTGGGAGACCAGATATAGTGAATGCAGGGTCCGGGGAGACCAGATAAAGTGAATGCAGGGTCCGGGGAGACCGGATATAGTGAATATGCAGGGTCCTGGGAGACCAGATATAGTGAATGCAGGGTCCGGGGAGACTGGATATAGTGAATGCAGGGTCCGGGGAGACCAGATATAGTGAATGCAGGGTCCGGGAGACCGGATATAGTGAATGCAGGGTCCTGGGAGACCAGATATAGTGAATGCAGGGTCCGGGGGATCAGATCAGATATAGTGAATGCAGGGTTCCGGGGAGACCAGATATAGTGAATGCAGGGTCCTGGGAGACCAGATATAGTGAATGCAGGGTCCTGGGAGACCGGATATAGTGAATGCAGGGTCCGGGAGACCAGATATAGTGAATGCAGGGTCCTGGGAGACCGGATATAGTGAATGCAGGGTCCTGGGAGACCGGATATAGTGAATGCAGGGTCCGGGGGGACCAGATATAGTGAATGCAGGGTCCGGGGAGACCAGATATAGTGAATGCAGGGTCCTGGGAGACCAGATATAGTGAATGCAGGGTCCTGGGAGACCGGATATAGTGAATGCAGGGTCCGGGGGGACCAGATATAGTGAATGCAGGGTCCGGGGAGACCAGATATAGTGAATGCAGGGTCCTGGGTTTGGTAACACGTTAAGTTACATGTTAGACTGTGCTGGAGTCTACAGAGGATTAGAGGCCTGCTTCCCCTGCCCATGTGACTGTGTTTGGAGCTGGGGATTGACCGCTCAGATGTGAGAACTGCATCTTGGGAAGAAGAGAAGGTCACATGCTCCTTTATGCACTGGGTTTGACCAAGGGTTCTGATAATAGACGATTATTCAGCAGAGGAGCATGTCTGGGGTGAGAATCAGTGTGGGACCTTAAAGTAAAACTTTTTTTTCATTTTGAATAGAGTAAAGGAGGGTTATAATCTTTGTCCTTTTTTAGCCCTCTGTGACCTACTAAAGAGATTGTCCTTCACTTCCTGTCTAATAGCCAAAACAGGAAATGAGAGGAAATCCATTGTCACCAGAACTATTGCACCCATTGGAAGATTTCCCCTCTTATGCTGTTCTGGTGACAACACCAAATTTGGAGTTTTCTTCTACTTTTGGTGATAACAGTACACAGGACAAATAGAGAGGGTGAATCTCTCTAACAGGGCCCCAGACAGCAATAAAGAAACCTGACAGATTTCTATCCAAAACTAAAAAAGGTTTTGCCTTTAATTATAATTGGTTATATTTCTCAACCTAACCTTTAAAGTGTATGCAAAGACGCTAACACCTTTTTTTTGGCTTTGAATAAATTGAGGACATTTTACACTCTCAAAATGTTAGAGTTGTCCAAAGAGCATTAGGTGAAGGGAAATCTTCAGATGTGGAAACCTGTCTGGGGACAACTGTCTAAGGCCTCGTTTGCACTTGCTTCAAAATGTGGCGTTGGAATCACTTTTTTAAAGCACTTTGAATACCAATCAAAGCCCCTGTCACTAAATAAAATGGTAAGATTACATTCCTTTACACACATTGCATTTGCTTTGTTTCACTTCAAAAATTATACCCTTGTCACTTTCTTGGTTCTTCAAAGCCTCCATAGATGTCTATGGCAAAGTTTAAAACAGCGCCTGCAGTTTTTGAGGGGCCTTTATTCAGAGTTAGCTTTGCTTTGGAGGTATTGCAGGTATGAGATATCCCAGGATGCACTGGAAAACCATTAAGTGATGTAATCAGCAGTCACTTCCAGTTCATGTGTATATGTTCTGGAAGTGTCTGGTGCAGACGTTGCATCTGGTGTGCAGTGAGGAGCAGCAGGAAGGTGAGTGGGGTCCAGACTGGACGGGAGCAACTAGCAGAGGGCACACATGGTGTGCAACATGGGAACGCTATAGCGGAAGGACAGCTGGAACCGGAGAGAAAGGACTGAGCAGCATATGATCATCAGAGCTGGGGGGCCAGAGCAAGAGAAACTAGCAATGTCACCCGTGGTGCGCATTACAGGAGCAATATAGCAGGAGGGAAGTGAGGACCAGAAAGAGAGGAGGATCAGCAAACCAGAGGATCAACAGAGCTATGTTTCTACTGAGCAGAGGATCAACAGAGCTGGGGGGTTACTACTGAGCGGGGGGGGGATCAGGAGAGCTGGGGGTTCTACTGAGTGGGGGATCAGCAGAGCTGGGGGTTCTACTGAGTGGGGAATCAGCAGAGCTGAGGGTACTACTGAGTGGGGGATCAGCAGAGCTGGGAGTTACTACTGAGTGGAGGATCAGCAAAGCTGGGGGTATTACTGAGTGGGGGATGAGCAGAGCTGGGGATTCTACTGAGTGGGGGATCAGCAGAGCTGGGGGTACTACTGAGTGGGGGATCAGCAGAGCTGAGGGTACTACTGAGTGGGGGATCAGCAGAGCTGGGGGTTCTACTGAGTGGGGGATCAGCAGAGCTGAGGGTACTACTGAGTGGGGGATCAGCAGAGCTGGGAGTTACTACTGAGTGGAGGATCAGCAAAGCTGGGGGTACTACTGAGTGGGCGATCAGCAGAGCTGGGGATTCTACTGAGTGGGGGATCAGCAGAGCTGGGGGTACTACTGAGAGGGGGATCAACAGAGCTGGGAGTTACTACTTAGTGGAGGATCAGCAAAGCTGGGGGGTTACTACTGAGCAGAGGATCAGCAGAGCTGGGCTTACTACTGAGTGGGGCATCAGCAGAGTTGGTAGTACTATTGAGCAGGGGATCTCCTAAATGAGGGTATTAATATATGCTGGGGATCTTCTGAACAAGGGTACCAATGAACTGAGAATCTGCTGAGCAGGGGTATTATTGAGTCAAGGTTCTTCTGGGCCCCTTTAAAACAAATAGAAAATCAACACACACACAAACAGGGCATTTGCCAAGCTTCATTAAAGCTTCAAAAAAGCATCACCAGAGCCTTGAAAACGGGCAAAAAAAGCATGTTGAAGCAGTAGGCGCTTTATTGTCGAAGCAAGTGTAAATGAGCCCTAAGAGAGAATTCCCCCCACTTCAGGAGATTTCCTTTAACTTCCTGTTGCAACCCCTGGGCACCAAGTGAAGGGAGATCTCCCCAACAGTACACAGACTGCAAAAATAGCCCGGGAGAAGTGTTAACCCTTTTCTGCTCCAAAACGAAAATATTCACCAACAGAATAAACACAGGTGAAACGCATATACTGTACGAGATCATATGACAAATTAATCTGGTTAATGGAGCACTGTGAAAAGCCTGCTGATTTTGTATCTTTAAGGAATTGTATCTTTGAGCTTATTATTAATTTTCTGTATTTTTCCTTATTTGTTTTGATGATTCTGTCACTGTAGAGGGAGATGGACTCTCAAGAGGCCAAATTTATAGCTCAGAAGATAATGCAGGAGATGTTGGACGGTGTCCGTAGCCCAGAGCGTCCTCAGTCACCTCCGACACGTGTCACTGAAGAAGAAATGTTCCACCTAATGAACCCAGAGGTATTTCATGTACAATGTGACATGATGATCTATAATGCCGATTTCATTGATTATTAAAGCCTAACCATCCAAGTTCACTCCCTACTCACATTGCTTACCATGTGATGGCAGCTCTATTCAATATACAGCACTAGATGGCAGCCTTGTTCCTATTTCTTAAGTTGCAAAGAATAAAAACTACTTTGTTTACAGTTTTTAGAGTTGAATTCTCGCTTTTAAAAAGACCAGAAGTCCCTAGTTCCAGCATATTTTGTAGAAATTAGCTATTAATACAGCTGCTAAAAGAATGTAGTTAGAAATGTCAAGATCTTATAGAACTGGATACATTTGACACCTTGGCGTTATCAATTAGCTCTGTATTTTTGGACACAGGTGAAATGTAAAAACAATAAACGCCCAAATAAACAGGTTTTGTTTCTTCAGGTGAGTCTTTCATCTTCGGGTTATACTGCCGCTTACAGGATTGAAATTTGGCAAACAAAAAAATTGCAGGACAGCCCAGGATAACCCCTCCAACTACCAGCATGCCTCAGTTGTTGGCTAGTGTTCTAGGAGGATCCATGTCTTTTCTTCAGCTCTCCTGTTTAAAAGACTAACCTCATTTTATTAGCCTCATTTTTTTGTAGTCATTTTTTTTCTTCATTCAAGACTCTTCTCTACATTTCTTCTAGAGTTGGTCTCTTCAATTGCAGCAATCCGGTGCAACTGTCCTCATTTTGGCTTTCAGAATGCCTTGTTTGGACCCCATTGGACTGGGCATTGCAAAGATTGGAAATTGCCTTCAGGCACTGGGTTCTGTGTAGGGCACTTTTCAGTTTCCAATCTGGTAACAAGATAGCAGTAGAGCACTTTCTAGGTCCAGCATTGCCTCATCACTTACCCTGTCTCTTAAGACTCACTCTGTAAGTAGGCCGGTTGAGCTGAGCATCGGGAGGTACCTTATGTATGCTGCTCGCTAGGCACCTTTAAATTCCCGCTTCTGTTCACTTTTCACTGCGGAAGGGGTTAATGCTGTGAGATTCAGTGCTGACAGCATCTGCTGGGTGAAGTGTTGCACTCACTCCAAATTTTCTTTCCCATCATGAAGCATCGGGGAAGCATCTCCCCACTCTCCTGTTCCAGCTTGCCAATAGCCAGATGTAACTCTGACCTTCAGTCTGTTCCTGATGTCCACCTACTGTGACTTTGGTCACCTACAACCATCTAACCCTCATCTGTTACCAACTCTTTGGTTTCTTGACATGGGGGGGGCAGCCGCACTGTAACTGGGGCACCTAGCTCACACTGTACAAATAGCTCTACAGGCTAGAATCATTATGCTGTTTGCTCCTAAAATCTCTTCCATTATCAGAGTTAAAGTGTGGTACAGGAAAATTGATTGTCAGAGGAGACTCCTACATCAACCATTAGGAATGAACCAGAAGTCTCAATGTGGCAAAAGAGGTAGATTGAATCTTATCTAGAGCAAAACTTCACATTCCCACCTTGTCTACTATATACATCCCAGGCATAGACAATAGGCAGGCAGACTTCCTCAGCCAACATCCACCCCCCCAAACCCCCCAGGGGAGTAGTTCCTTTACCCAAAGGTGTTCCAGAACCCTTCAACAAGAAATTGCACAGGTTTGTCCCCAGGTATAAGATTCCTGATTTTGGTGGCCTGTACCAGAATCAGTGGAAGCTTTGGTGGCTCCCTGGGCATCGGCAAACACAAATGCCCTGGGGATGGACTCGACTCTGATCTATGCCTTTCCTTCCCTGAAGCATCTTTTCATCTTCTTGGCAGGATCGAGATGAAGGACATTCCATGATCCTCATTGCTCCACACTGGCCCAGACTGGTGAGGTACACTGACCAGGTAAGAATCCTGGCAGCTGTACTGTGGGCTCTGCCATATCGTCAGAATCTTCTGTCCCAAGGACTGATTTGCCATTCTGCTTCAGTCGTTGGATATAACAGCATAGCTGTTGAAGCCCAGGTTTTGAGAGACACGGACATCTCCGAATCTGTGATTCCTATGATGCTAAAAGCTTGAAAGACTTTGTCAAAAATAGCTATCATTAGATAGGGAAGGCTTATATCACTTGGTGTGAATCTCGGGACTTCCAATCTAGGAGTTTCTCTGTGGGACGAATACTCAATTCCTGCACCTGGATTTTAACTAGCGTTTGGCTATCACTCTCTCAGCACTATTAAAGGTGCATTTTCTGCCCTTTCGATCTGTCATAAATTGGTGGCCTCTCGCTCCTCAACCAGGACACCATTCTTTTGTACCTCTGTGCGGCCAATCTTCTGTTCACACATTTTTTTTTACCAGAAGGACATTGCAGCCGTTCTTCAGGCGGCTTTTTAACATTCTTCTGGCGGCTCTTTGAGCTGCAGGCAGTTTTTTTGGTTCCGTTGTTTTTCTTGGGCCTTAACGTTTGTTTGCAGTGTTGGCCACCTATCAGTTAGCCTGCTCACCAAGACTGTATCTCAGTACTAACAGATCATCAATTATCGGTTAAGCTGTCCCCATGCAAAAAGAACTTGCATTGATAGTTTTTGGCATATTTGTTGTACAGAAAGGCTTACTTTTAATCTGCCCACCTACTCTTATGTGATAATTATGATCCTTTTCGGGCTTTTATGGTATACTTTTATTACAGTTACACTACAAAAATCAGACTGTTGAGGAGCTGCAGCGGTTATGGAGGGAGTATATATCTCCAGACACACAGACCAGTCCTCTTCTATCAGAAGAGGCATCAGGTCATGTGCTGATCGGATCCTACCTTGTAGAACAAATTGGTTCGGAGGCCGAAGAGGAGCCCAGTTCAGAATGGAACTTATCAGTTGTCCAACTGAAACAGGTGAAAAATCATTTACAAGAGCCAATTTTTTCATTTAAAAAATGGGTAGCAAAGAAGTTTTAGTGGTGTTAAGAATGAATTAAAGGGGCAGGCCTTTTTATGATGACCTAAAAAAGATGCAACTAAATCCAGCCTGTAAAAGAAGATTAAAAATACTTCTCTTTCTGCTGACCACTGACTCCAGTCTTCGCATATGACAGAGTAGTGATGGAGCATCCCACAGGGAAAACTACAGCATGAAGTGGTTGATGCGGCAGCCCCTTCATTTTATATTTTAGTTTAGTCACATTGGGGTTGATTTACTAAAGGCAAATAGACTGTGCAGTTGCGCCCTGCAAGAGCAGTTGCTCCAGAGCTTAGTAAATGAGATAATGCTTCATTTTGCAAAGAATACAATCACATGCAAGGAAAATAATAAAAACAGCATTTTTAATTGCACATGATTGGATGATGGAAGTCAGCAGAGCTTCTGCTCATTTACTAATCTCTGGAGCAACTGCTCTTACAGAGTGCACAGTCTATTTGCCTTTAGTAAATCAACCCCATTGTCTTTTTTAAGGGTCCTTGCACATGACACTAGTGTATGAACATGCAATCTTCCTGACAGTTCCCGCCCAAAAAACACGGGTATAATCCATATAGCATGTGTGTTTATGTGCGTATACACACTTATGCATGTAAAGAATTATTTTGAACTTGAACAATGCTAAAAAAATATAGGGGAGGTGAGATTTGCGTACATATTTGTGCACATTTGTGTTTATGCATGTACAATACTGACCAGTAATGCAGATTTATGTAATTTTTTTACTGATACATGGCACTAGTTTTCTGGTATTCACACCCCTATGTATACAGACCAGCCGAAGGCAATAGGCTGCATTCAGATCAGTAAAAAAAAAAAAAAAATGCCCGAATGCTTAACCACTTCCCGACCGGCCGTTGCATATAAACGGGCGGACGGTGGCAGTGCAGGGTCGGGCGGCTGTTTATAAATGGCCTCCCCGCACCCTGCTTGTGCGCGCTCCCTGGAAGAGCGCAGCACCCCGCGCGATCCGGTGCCCGCTGTGTCCTCCGGACACAGTGAAACACCGATCGTTGGACGGGACCTCTGTACGAGGTCCCGATCATGTGATCACTGATTGGCCAATCAGTGATCACATGCAAAGTAGTAAGCAAGATGTCACTTGTGACGACATTGCTTACTACGTGTGAAATCTGTGAATGATCACAGAGGTCACATGGTACAAGGCTATTCAGAACAGCCTTGTACCATGTGACAAGCTGTGACCAATGTGACCAAAAAAATAAAATAAAAATGTAAAAAAAATGTTTAAAAATTTTAATTTTTGGTTATAAACTAATTTGGATTTTTTTTTTACTAAAGAGATAACGGAATAAATTTTGGCCAAGATTTATGATGAAATATTATTTATTTGCAAAATTTTATAAAAAAAACACTTTTTTTTCAAAATTTTTGAACTTTTTCATTTACATGGCAAAAAAAATTAAAATCCCAGCGGTGAATAAATACCACCAAAATAAAGCTTTATCTGTCTCAAAAAAATGGTAAAAACTTAATTTGGGTACAGTGTTGCATGACCGCACAATTGTCATTCATAGTGTGATAGCGCTGAAAGCTGAAAATTGCCCTGGACAGGAAGGGGGTAAAAGTGTCCGGTCTGGAAGTGGTTAAAAAAACATGACATTTTTGGCACCTGTGTGCAAGTTTTGAAAGAATGAGAGCATCACACTAGCTTGCATAGACCTTTTAAAATAATTTTATATTTATAAAAAATATTTTAAAAGGTCTATACAAGCTGGTGTGGCGCTCTCATCCTTTCAAAATGCCAATAAGCTCCTCTGGAGGGTCTGGTAAGACCCCACAGGTGCTGGTGAGCAGCCTCTAGAACTGTAAACCACCCACGCATCCCAATAAGTTTCAGCGCTCCTGCATCACAAAAAATACAGTATATTGTCAGTATAAAATGCACATTAAAAGGAGTTTGAACATGACTTTTTTTCATACATTAGGCATTGTAAAGCCACAAATAAAGTGGAACTGTAGTGCGGGGAAAGACAGCAGATCTTGCCATAATGTGCAGGTATGCTTGGCTTTCTTCTGGGTTGAATGACAGCCGGTGTCATTCAATCCCTTTCTGTGAGCCCTGGCTGTCACATTGCTGGAGCACTGAACACTATTTACACATATGCGCGCCCTTTATCACCCACTGCTGCTGGGCAAGAAGAAGGACACAGTATGTCATTGTCAAGGATGACAGCTTGAATCAAGGTGTATATATATATATATATATATATATATATATTATAAAAGGAATTTTTATAAAATACGTGTGAGTAGAAATTTGGGGGAGGGTTAGAAGAACTAGGGTACTGGAGACTGGACATCTGCTTTAAACAGCAGGATTTTGTTTTTCTTTTAGATTAAAAGATAAGTTCTCCTTTTTAGTGAAATAAAAAAAATGCACATTTTATGCAGGTGAAAAAAAATGTTAATTTACTACTTTTTTTTTTTTTTTCTTAGAAGCTTGTAAAGCATTTCAGCTGGGGTTAGCAGATCACTGGTGCAATGTGTGGCTCCTACAGACTGCCAGTGTAGCTATCTGCACCTATCTCTTGTAGGGACAGGCAGTTATTTCAGTCCAGGTAGCTTAATGGACTACGAGAGCACTCACCAGCACCCTTGTAGTTCATTGAGAACTATAAGCCATCAGCCACAAAGCTGACAGGACTTGTAGGCATTCACAAAACTCTGTTAAAAAATGATGCATCCGTGTGGATGGAGCCCCGCACGCTGCACTGTTTTCAAATTGTGACAGTGAGTGCGGGGAGAATATCCCCAGCCCACTGTCACGGGGAAGAGATCAGGGGGAGAGCTGCAGGAGCAGAAACATGTTACACGTTCCACCCTAAAAACAGGTGGAACATGTAACATGTTCCCAAAAGTGAACATATCCTTTAAAGCTGGACACACACATTGTATAATCTCCTAACCCCTGTGTAGTGCGACAGCATGCTAATAAAAGTCATTAATAAAATTCTATCCAGATTCTACAAAGTTTCTACCATCAGATTGTAAAGTTTGCATCTGGCTGCACTGTTATATCCTAATGTTGTGCTCTTTTGATCCCCAATGTCAGGCTTCAGATATGATCCCCGAGGATGAACCACGAGAGACATTCCTACTTCATGTAAACAGACTTGTCAGTGAACTGACCACCCCGGCGCAGGAGGTTCCTGTGGACCTGTTGCAGCAAGCTTGGTCAGTGGTAATTGTTTGCTTGTGAAGTTTCTGAGATTTTGTTCTGCTTGTATATAATTATTCAAGAAGCAACGTGCATAGATAGTAAAGAAGAACTCCGCCAAGCACTGTACACCTAAATGGCCGCAGAATATAATATGTGAAACTGCTTAAACTGCAAATCTAGCCAATACCCTTTTTTAGTTTTGGATGGAATAGGGAAGGAGTAGAAATATGGCAAGATTTATTGCTGCCTTTGTCGCTGCTGAAATTGCACACTAACGCACAAAGCACACTGGGGTAGATTTGCTAAAACTAGAGCACTCAGAATCTGGTGCAGCTGTGCATGGTAGCCAATCAGCTGCTAACTTCAGCTTCTTCAGTTAAGTTTTGACAATAAAACATGGAAGCTGATTGGTTTCTTTGCAGAGCTGCACCAAATTTTGCACGCTCCAGTTTTATTAAATAACCCCTACTGTGTTGCATTGCGGTGCCATTCATTGTAAATGGGCACCAGCGCATCTACTGAGTGCACCACAAGACAAAAGCAATGCAAAGCAAGAGTTTTTTTCCTGCAATGCCCATTCAAAATGATCCAGCAAACAGCAAGTAGAGATTTGGGAGATAATAGAACATTTGTGGATGTCGCTATTAGCTTTCTGTTATACTCTACAGAGTTGCTCAATACAGCAGCTTGCATTTTACAGCCCATTCATAAAATGCAGGCAGTGTTATTGAGGCTGTGGTACATTACATCTCTCTGCTTCACGCAGCAGAAAACATTCTGTCATAGGACGAAGGCCTGTCGCATAATTTCGACAGATTAATTGACCCAATTCTACATTGTCATTTATTTATTTTTATTTTTCAAACTCTATTCATTTTAAAAGCAATCTACCAGTTTCTAAGCCTGGCTATAGATTATGGAAGTTTCTTTCCTTCAACCACGGGTTAAAAGAAAGAAAGTTGCTTGATTCCGCCATCAACACAGTCATTATTGATGGTGGAATCCCTCCCGCCACGCTATTGTGTTCTGACAATGGGAGGTTTCCCTGCCATCAAAATACAGTGATTACTGCTGCTGGAAATATTTGGCAGCAGTAGTCCTATGAGACAAAAAAATATTGACTGATAGATTGACCTCAGTACACCCAGCCTGCCCATAGATTGGTCGAAATGTGGCCTGTTCCTACTGAACTGGATGAATTTTGATCTGTCTATGGTCGGCTTAAGTCCCGAACTGAGCCATGCTTTATAAATATGTTGTTTTTAATTTTGGCCATGTTAAGGACATATCTTCTAGAACAGTGGTAGTTAGCTCTCTTGATAAGGGGGCCTTAAGTGCGGCCCCTGACCTCACCCAAGGGCTGCACAGAATATTAAGTGTCAAGAGACTGCAGATGCTAAACAGGATTTGGTCATAAACTTTAGGCATTATGCAAAAAGACAGTCAGACTGTGGACTGCTATAGGGGATGTTAGAGACTGGGGACCTGCTATAGGGGATGTTAGAGACTGTGGGCCTGCTATAGGGGATGTTAGAGACTGGGGGACCTGCTATAGGGGATGTTAGAGACTGTGGACCTGCTATAGGGGATGTTAGAGACTGTGGACCTGCTATAGGGGATGTTAGAGACTGTGGGCCTGCTATAGGGGATGTTAGAGACTGGGGACCTGCTATAGGGGATGTTAGAGATTGGGGACTGCTATAGGGGATGTTAGAGACCCTGCTATATGGGAGACTGTGCTATAGGGGAGTTAGAGACTGTGGACCTGCTATAGGGGATGTTAGAGACTGGGGACCTGCTATAGGGGATGTTAGAGACTGTGGACCTGCTATAGGGGATGTTAGAGACTGTGGACCTGCTATAGGGGACCTGCTATAGGGGATGTTAGAGACTGTGGACCTGCTATAGGGGATGTTAGAGACTGTGGACCTGCTATAGGGGATGTTAGAGACTGTGGGCTATAGGGGATGTTTAGAGACTGTGGACCTGCTATAGGGGATGTTAGAGACTATAGGGGATGTTAGAGACTGGGGACCTGCTATAGGGGATGTTAGAGATTGGGGACCTGCTATAGGGGATGTTAGAGACTGGGGACCTGCTATAGGGGACCTGCTATAGGGGATGTTAGAGACTGTGGGATAGGGGATGTTAGAGACTGTGGACCTGCTATAGGGGATGTTAGAGACCTGCTATAGGGGATGTTAGAGACTGTGGACCTGCTATAGGGGATGTTAGGACTGGGGACCTGCTATAGGGGATGTTAGAGACTGGGGACATGATTCAGGAGACAAACTGGAGACACATTACGTTAGGCTACCAGAGATCACCGCTACAATATGGCAATAGGGAAACAAAGGTGAGCATCTGCAGGACTTTGTGGGCTGCTCAAAAAGTGCCAAAGGGCTACATGCGACCTTCCGGCCACAGGTTGGGCAGCAGGGTTCAAGAGAATAGATAGCAGTGTGTTGTAGAATAGACTGTAGTATACAAACAGGACTAAATGACTCAGACAAAGTCAGACACAAAGCAGGCTGATCATACTTCTCTTTTTAGCTAACCCGTAGTGTTCTGCAAATCCTTTTCATCTATTAAACATTTAATTGTAAAACAGAGATTGTATGGTTAGTATAAAAAAGCTATAAATCATCAGTATAAAAATATATAAGCTCATATGCATCTGGCTCCCAATCTATGTACTACAACAATGGCAGTCAGTAATCATCCAGTATTATGTGCATGTCATTATGTGCACACTTGTGTTGTCATGCAGTTATTTACATTCCTGCAAATATGGAGTAACATGCACAGGAGTAATAGGCAAAGCCAATCTACATTCTAGTGCATTAGGGCTCATCTCACCAGTCCAGAAAAGGTCATTTTGAAGTTAGTGATGTCACTTTTATATCAGGGGTGATTTTCTTATCTCAGTCTACATTTTTGTAATCCTCTGTTTTCAGTCTTCAGCTATGGAGGGATGCCATAGATAAACTAGTGGAACGGTCTATGGAGCTACGATTTGTACTGGGCATGCCAGCCAGACAAGGATGTAACAGCAGAATTTATAATAGAAGAGACAGGTAATATCTTCTAATTATGTCCAGTATGTATGAATACACTGAATAGAATGGAGTACATACAACCTGCTGTTACTTGCATGCTCCCACAGCTTGCAGTGCAGAGCTTATCAATCAGATTGACAAAGCACCACTCATGGCTTAAAAGCACTCCAGACATAAACAATATAGAGTGGGGTTCCAATTAAAGTAGAATTAAACCATCGACTGAAAAAAAGTAAATTTCTCTTCCGTTTATTGAAGTACACAGTCGGTTCTTTAGATATTGCCCACTGGGCAAATCCACAAAGTACCAAAAATAAATTTATGTTTAAAGGAGAAGTATGGGCAAAGCTAACCAAGTACACTCCTGTGACACTCCTGTGACCCAGATTCAGCAGACAGTGGGCTATAGTCCGCTCTCAGCTGATGTCACAGAGCGGGTTTAGGCTCTGCAGGGGTCCTGACAGTAGTGTCGGGATCCACTCAGATGCTTGACCTGCAGCAGGGCTCACCCTCTCAGCGCAGCACTGAGATCCTGAGCCCAGCCACTCTTGCCCTCTCCACAGTCCAGTGCTCCAGTGAGATCTGGCAAGGCAAAGTGGTGGCTGACGGTCACTGCTCTGGTCTCAGAGCGGACTCGAGAACTGAGCGATCAGCGGTCTTTAATTACTCAGTTCTTGGTGTAGAGCCATTTATTGTGTTCCATAATTGTTTTTTTTTTCATTTAGATCAATTTTAAACCTTTCACCCATCTCAGTAGCTCACAAGACATCTAGCAAGGGAGCTCACACACAATCTTTAGCTTAAGCCCTGATGGTGGGACCAGGGGCGGACTGACAACTCATGGGGCCCCCGGGAAATAGGGGATCGTGGGGCCCCTGTGTCCTTGCCCAAACTCAAAAAAACCTATGAAAAAGGTACCAGGGGCATCTCATGGGGCCCCCTACTGACCCTGGGCCCTCGGGCAGTGCCGTGTTTCCAAATGGTCAGTCCACCCCTGGGTGGGACTACATGTCCCATGACTAATTGTATGCAGGATTATGATCATTTTTTTTTATATACATTTCAATAAACTTTATTGGCCACATTGTTGCAGTGGTTCTTTGCAATGTGATTTGTGTGGCCAGATGTACGTATTTGCTAAAAACAGAAGCTAGCTCTTAATCAAACTCCATTGGGTGAAGAAGACATGTAGTCCCGGGGAGCAAGTACATTGTAGTGACTAATAAAGACCCCACCCATGAATGTAGCTGCTACAAAAATGGATCTATACTCCATTAAATGTTCAAAAACATCTTAAAGATTCCAGTCTATCCCCAAAAAATTAAACCTCAGCAGTTACAAACACTATAGCTGCTGACTTTTAATATAAGGACATTTACCTGTCCAGAGATCCAACACTGTCCTCACCCAAGCCATTTTTTCAATCGGCTTCCGGACCAGACGCCAGCATCTTAAGTAATGGAAACTGGCACTCCCGGCACGGCTCATGTGTGAGCCGTGCTGCACTTTGTGAATGGTCCCACAGTCTTCTGGGGCCTGTGATGAGTCCCCAAAGGCTTGCGGGAGAAAGGGAGGGGGTGGCAAGCTTACTTTCAGATCGCTGGGCAATCCGACCGGAAGTGTGAGTGGGTACCTGTCAAAACCAGGTACCCGCTCTACCCCTCCCAAAAAGTGCCAATTGTTACAGGAGAAGGGGGGGAGGATGCAAACAAGAGGAACATCCCTTTTTGGATGACATTCCACTTTATGTGAAACAGAAGGTACCCAGAAATGAATGGCTGAGCATAGAAGGATCACAGCATCAGACAGGTGGCCAGCTGCATGGGTCTCACAGCGCATCGCAAAGTGTGCATCCATGTGGGTCCAATGCACAGATCAAAACACGGTCAGACTGAATTCTGATCTGTATATAAAAGCCAGCACTCGTCCACAGGCTATACATTTCTCTTTATTAGTAACACCGGGTAAGATTCACAAGAATGGCTTTAGTCATGGCTATGGTTAGCTATAGCCTGGCTATGACTAAAGCCCTTTTTGGCTGAAACGTGTCAGATCTGTTTTTATCTGTGAATCCTACCCTGTGATCTAATGAAGAGGATTGTACAGCCTTTGGACGAGTGCCGGCTTTTACATGCAGTCTATTTGTAGTTATTGCAGGAGCCTCAGCTGAAGCACACTAATACTGGATATCGGTGAGTCCCGTTTCTTGGAGAGTTGCACTAGGACACCCATGTAAGACTGTGCAGCCAGCCATCTATCATTCATTTCAACAGGCTGCCTGCATGGGGGGGCTGCAAGAACACCTTTGCATCTCACGTGGATGAACACAGCTCTTCACATGGGTGTATGGTTCATTACGCCTGTGTGAAAGAAAATTTTGGCTACAAAATTGTTTGTTTTCTCAGTTGGGTTTAATAACCGTGTAAGTATAACTTTTATTCTAAAAGTGAAAATCCACACTAATGTGCCATCACACTCTCTGATGTGAGGAAAATTCCCATCACACCATGGCTGCATCTGCGTTTGTATATGATCATTGTGTGACTTTTTCCAGGCAGGATAGAGAATCCAAAACAGGGATTCTTGGTTTGCATATATTACAGTACATGAGACAAAAGGACAAAGCACCTTGTCCTCCTGAAACATGCATTGGTTTATTTAAAACTGCTATTAAAAGGTCCTCACAAAAGTACAGTAATCAATCACTTGTAAAATCCACAATAGGTTGAGTAGCTCAATCTTAATAGAGCTTAATGCATTTTCGGGGGCCCTGAAAACACATTAAGCTCTATTATGATTTACTAGCTGTGATCGCCGATTGGGTTTTAATGACCATTCTGTGATTGGCCTGAGGTTATTGGTGTTCAGCCCGCTGTGGATTTTATAGACAATTGATAAATGCACCTTTGAGAGCAATATTGAAAAAACTATTACATACTTTACAAGGACAATGTGCTCTGTCCTCCTTTTTGTCTTGATATACAACAGATCTCGCTGTTTGTGTTGGGAGGTGCCTACTTTGTGCGAGGGTTTAGTTTTATATGGTGGTCTACTTTGGTTGCAATGATGGTGTCTCTGTTAGTTGTTCCAAGTACTGAGGTTTCACCAGCACTGGGTCACATCACTTTGAACAAGCTTCTTGTAGAAGCCTAGTTTAGTTTTATACAGACTGTAAGACCTCGCAACCCACATGCCATTTTTATTTATTGCACTTATTTATCAGAGGCACCTACACTGCATGTGTGTTTTTTTTGCAAAGAGAGGTGAAGGTTTTTTGGAGGCCTGCCCTGATGTCAGGGAGAGGATCTATGGCCTTTGGGACTTTTTTATTTCCCCAACCTTGGATCTCATTCCAGGAGAATCCCCATCACGTGCTTGGAGGACCAGCTTCTGAAGGTCCTTAATGGCAGGGTACACCTGGCTTCGACCTAGGTAAACCAGAGTACCTTGCCCCTGACAGGAACCTTGTACCCCAGGGAGTTCAGGGATTGAGGCTCTTTCTTTTTGGAGGTTGGACCAAGTTTCGTACCCTTGTATGCTTTTTAGTGTTCTGTGATTTCACAGTTTACTCTTTTTGTTTACAGGGTTTCATAAAGCACCACACTGTATAAAAATGGAAATTGGGATACATGTCCAAGATTGCCAACTGCATCAAAGTATTCCCTCTCTGACCAGTTCCTTCTCTACTCTGCAAAATGCCACTTACTTACCTATATCATACATTAATTGATATATGGGCGGTTATTTACTAAAACTGCATGATGCAAAATCTGGTACAGCTCTGCATAGAAACCAATCCACTTCCATTTTTTTTTTTGTCTAAGCTTAATTGAACAAGCTGAAGCTAGAAGCTGATTGGCTACCATGCACAACTGCACCAGGTTCTGTGTGGTCTAGTTTTATTAAATCTCTCCCCCATAGTGCCAGTAATGGGGTTCATAGTTGCATGAGAGCTACAGACTCAGTCAAGTATTTGGCATTTTGAAAACCAGTAGCATTTTTTAATTCAAGGCTTTCTCTGATTGGGTGTGGTGGAGAGAAAGGGTGATGATTGTCCAATCTGAGAATGCCTTGTATTTACTGAAATAAAAATGTATTCAGAGGAGAAGCCATCTGGCACATGACCTGGAAGATTGAGGATATATCTGTAGTAGTGCTGACTATTACAGTGGTTGCCAGCTTCCCCTGTGGCCCCTCAGGTATGAGATATGCATACCTACATTGGTCCAAGCTGAACGAATATAAATATGCAATAAGGATCATACCTGAAGTTCAGATTTAAAACCAAACTCAAGTCCAGGAAGCTATAGAATACACACAGTAATGCAGCTTTGTAAGCATTATTGCTTTATTAAAAGCATTTTTTAAATGTAACTGTGTGAGTACCTGAATATGTTCTGGTATCAACTATTCGCAGTCCCTGTACAGCTGAGCTCAGACTGGGAGAGAGAGGCGCAGCACAAAATAGCCAGTCAGTGCTTCTCATTTCACTGTCCAGTCACAGACTTAGGACCTGTTAATGATGGCTTGGGCTCAGACAAATGGCAATAAATGGCTTGGAAGGCTGAAGGTATCTAGTGAAACAAAGGAAGCATTGCAAGGACTTCTCTAGATAAAAGGTGAGTATTGTACCAAAGTTTGCGGTTTTATTATTTTCTCTTTATTTTGTGTTAATTACTTTTTTTATTTATATTTTTGGCTGGAGTTCTGCATTAAAGTGAAGCTGTGATTCCCTGTACAGGTGAAAGGAACATGTTCACTTTAATACCTCCTCCCCAGCTGAATATAGGAATCTTCTTCTTTCCATGTCCTTCTGCTCTGCTCAGTTGCTGGGAGAGACGGAAACTAAAGTGTAAACTGCTGGGAGGGCTAAATTATCCAGAATGGGCAAAATAAAGGTTTGCTTTAAAGTATTTTCACAGCCAAACCTGTTTAAAACCCCTGTTAGATTTTTTTTTTTTTTTTTTTCGCTATCTGTATTGAATTGGAGAAATTTCCCTTCATTTCCTGTCCCAGAGACAGCAGGAAGTGATCTCTTCAAAGTGAGGAGCAATCAGCTGTTACCATTTAAGGGTTTCCCCTTTACTCTGATTCGGTGACAACTGCAGAACTTTAAATTTCCCATCAATCTCTGTCTTCATGACCAGTGAACATAGAGAGGAGAAATCTTTTCAGGGACCTGGGCAACAAAACCTGACTGGGGTTTTAACACTTCCACACTATGTAAAAAAAAAGAAAAAAAAAAAGTGGTCTTTTACTTTAAAGAGAACAATGTTATTCAAGCAAAATGAGTAAGTCAAATCTTTTCAGGTCACCACCTCAATTTACAATATGAAGAGGAATCAGAGGCTTCAAATGACCAATGTATGTGTGCTGCATTAGTCACCTAAGATCTTCCCTGTAATTGAAGGTGAATCCCTTGAAGGGATTTACGCAATCTTCTCTTGGCTTGCCTTGATATAAGTTATTGCCGTGTTTCAAACAGAAGAAAAATCCTATTTCCTGTATTATAAAACTTCTCGTCTTGTTCTAGTGGTGGATCAGAAACGTGGGAAGGCAGGAAAAGATGAGAAGAAAGCAGGAGTGACAAAAGACGATAAAAGAACACCCGGAGGAAGGGAAAGAGAAGAGAAAAAAGGTGGAAAACAAGGAATAAAGGATAGATTGGAAAAGGAGGTATATTGTTACATTATTAGTGTATACAACTTCAAACTCGTGTCAAGACATGTTTTGGATTTATAGCAGAGCACAACCAGAAGGTATAAGCTGATGGGCCAAAAGGAACAAAGAAGACCTCCACTGAATCAGTATGAAGCACACTAAAGCCTTCTTAAGCCCCGGTTCACACTGTGGAACCGCATGTGATTCGTACAGGAATTGCATCGCATTCCTGTGCAAATCACATGCGATTCTGTGCAAATCACATGCGATTCTGTGTGGTGCGATTTGAGCCCATTTATTTTGTATGGCTCAAATCTCACCGCATCCGCACTTAAACGATGTAAGCACCTTTTTGTTTGCCGCACTGGAATCAGATTGAATGTACGTTCATACCTATGCGATCCGATTTAGGAAGACGCACTGCATTTTGCAACCTGCTTTTGGGGTGTAATTACCTTAACACTGACACCCGCAGCAGACCGCATGAACACAATGTGATTGCTATGTGGTGCAGGAAATGCACAAGAATTGCTTTTTCCACACTGCATCAGTGTGGACCTAGGCTAAAACAGAATGTTTGCACATGTCTCATTATTAATTATATTATTATTATACAGTATTTATATAGCGCCAAAGGGTATGCTCAGCGCTGTACAGTAGCAAGGGGGACAGAACATGAGACAAATTATATAATGATAAATTACAATTATATAATGATAAATTGCCCAAATATATGGGTTGATTCCTCATTTTAGGATAGTAGGTGGATCCTTTCAAATCTAATTTGTCTGCCATTTATCCCACTGTAATCCAGAACCCTTAGTTTATAGTACAGATATTGTAAAGCACTTGTGTCAAACAAGACCCATGGGCCGAATCTGACCTGCCAGCCATTTCATGTAGCCCTCACCCCTCTCCTGCAGCTGTGGCGCCCCCCTCATCTCCACTCCCACCTTATCTCAGCAGTCGGTAGCAGAGAGGATGACAGAACTCCTCCGCCAGATTCTGCGGGTGCTCCATTTGGCCGTGGAGAAGCTTGTCTCTCCCCCTCATCTCAGCAGTCAGCTGAACAAAAAAAAATAAACCAAAAAACAGTGGATCCCTCCATCCATAAAAGCATGGTGAATGGAGGAAATTCGACTGCCGGGACATTGTATTCCGGTAGTGAGACTCTCCGCTTTCAATATACTGATCGATGGCTGCAGCCGCTCATTGTCCAAAGTTTTCCAACATTTCCATTCAAGGGAAGTCAATATAATGACTGACTTCTGTTGACCAGGGATACATTGTTGATGACATACTTCTGTTGACAGGCCACGCATACATCGAATTCGGCCAGCCCCTGCTTAACTGTCCAAATTTCTATCCATCTTTGTAGACATTTGTAGTGTTTGCGGAGTGCCAACTTAACAAGGGTGGAAGAGGATGGCTGGATCCATCCTTCATGGTCCCGCTGTATATATACCTTAGATTGTACACCCCTTGAGGGTTAGGGACTGATGTGAATGTACAATATATATGTGTAAAGCGCTGCGTAAAATTGACGGCGCTGGATACGTACCTGAAATAAATAAATATATAAAGAGTGTAGCGCTAACTTAACAATATTCACAATAAATATCAAAAGAAATATAACACAAGTGTCTGCGTAAAAGGGAGGTGTTGAAACACCACAAACATAAATAGTGACAATAATATTAGTCTAAAGTGTCCATCCACTCCACAAATCCAAATGTAAATATGTGAATTCAAATGCCAGCATATAGTATCACTGCAGCAACAGAACAGACAAAGCCTGAGCCAGTGTCTATCCACTGACAAAGGAGAAAAGGAAAACCCTTCCAAAATCACTTCAGTGCATGTAGATGTACCTTATGGACTATATATGGCCTCCTCATAAGGAATGGTGATAAAGCACAATGGATAAGTGGTTAGCACTTCTGCCTGGCAGCATTAGGGTCATTGGTTCGAATCCCAACCACCTCACCACCTGCCTGGAGTTTTCATCTTCTCCTTGTACCTGTGCGGGTTTCCTCTGGGTACTCTGATTTCCTCCCATGCCCCAAAGACATGCTGGTAGCTTAACTGGCTCCTGTCTAAATTGTCCCTAGTATGTGTATATATGAATGTGAGTTAGGGACCTTAGATTGTACACCCCTTGAGGGCAGGGACAGATGTGAATGTACAATATATGTAAACTGCTGCGTAAATTGTTGGCTCTATATAAGTACCTGAAATAAATAAATAAATAAAATAAAGCTCTCATGATACAAGCAGCCTCCAGGATCATCATGTGTGCTAAATAACAGAACACTCCAACAGTACCCAATGATGAAGACACATGAGGGGAAACACTCACAGTATAATAAAAGCTGATCATGAAATTCATAAAAAAAAAGTTAAAAGTATAAACTCACAAAGCAAGCTAGCCCCACAGGCAGCATTGCATATAATATAGCATATAACATGAGTATCCGATACTTCCAGTATCACTGTAAGTTATGGCATCACTTCCGCTGGCCCCACCCCAACGCATTCCATCATAGTAGACATCATCAGGGGCAGTGGCCCTTGGGTGGCAATGTTCATTCTTCATGGTCCAACTGTATGTAGGAACATAGCCACCCTCTACTGCTCACTCCCAAGATGGACTATGGGATATATAGTGTATATATCCCAAAACACATAAATTAATGAGAAAAGGAAAGGTTTGGGAGCTCATGGATAATGTTTCAAGGAGGCAGAAAAACAAAGTAAGAAACAATTTAAAGAAAAATAGATTACAGAGACTTTAAGTTTTTGATACGTATGGATTATTTTTGGAGAAAAAGGATATGTTTAGGGTTGATTTCATCTAATTTCGGTGAAAGCTGAATATCCACGTACCCCTTGGTCCTACGATCCTTTGAGGTTCCGCAGTGACATGGATAGTTTTTACCACAAGGTCACTGCACTTAAGCGCTGTTATATTTGAAATGTTTTATGCCAGGCCAGATTTATTTCAATCCCCCCATATGATACCAAAATCGTGCAATTAGCTAATCCCGACTGCTATTAAATGTATAAGATTAGATATAATGTAAAATAAGCATTTACTTCATTGACACGATAAGCACATGTGATGCATCAGCAGTTTCTGTCACTTTTTTGGCTGAAAAGTTGAGTGCATTTAAATTGAAGGATTTTTCTTTCTTTATATTTTATCCAGGACCGTCCTAGCAGCAGGAAGGTGAAGGGCAAGGAAGACAAGAAATCCTCAAAGACGACAGGCCTCTCTGGAGAGAACAAGGAGCTGGTGTCATCCGGAGAAAGCCTGGACTTGTCTCCTCCACAGTCCCGTCTCTGCCAAATAGATCCAATTATACAAGAGAAGTATCAGGAGAGCCTGTACACTGAGGTGTGTGAATGGATGTCCACAGTCCTACCAGTGAAAATAGAATCGCAGGCTAATATGAAATGCACCTTTTTGTTCAGCCATGCATTTCACTGAAGCTCGTTTAAAGTGAACCTGTGAGCCACCCTAAAGTGGAACTAAACCACCAGTTTCCAGTGGAACTAAACCCATCAATATAGCTGTTTCCCATATTGGTTACACTGTGAATGATAAGTGTAACAGTTGCTCGTGTTCTAAACCAAGCTGACAAACCATCAAACGGCTGGTGTCATAACTCATCACATGAGGGTTAGGGACTGATGTGAATGTACAATATATATATGTGTAAAAAAGCGCTGCGTAAATGGATGGCGCTATATAAGTACCTGAAATAAATAATGTGCAGCACCATGGTAACTGCAGATCAAACAGAGTCCAAGATGGCAGCTTCCTTGACTGTGAAGACAGGAGGGTTTAGTTCCACTTTAATTTTATGTGGGCTGCCATTGCTGACCTCATTTGGAAAGAGCAACTTGGCTGATTGTCCAGTCACAGACCTGGAATAAGCTTTCAGCCATCAAAGTCAAAAGTTCTGCTAAAGTTGATGTAAACCCACTCTCATATATGCTTTACATGGTATTGTGATTTCATAAGTGATTTTCAATCTTTTAAGATGTCCACCATTAGGGCTCATGTACACGAGGTGTTTGGAAAACTCTTCTGAATGATGGAAACTGACTGCTTGGAAAACGTAGGTTACAAAACATCAGTTTAGCCGCGTTTGCATACCGCGTTTATACGCATTTGCATTTAGAAGACTTTCCCAAATGCCCAGAATGCACTGAAGAAGAGTAAATAATTAATTATTTCAGACATTTTGAGAGAAGGAGAGAGAGCAGAAGCAGAGAGAGCAGTATGTGTGGAGATGACCTGTCTTTTCTGGTTGTATTCACCATGGATCCCATCATGAGCATAATGTGGCACGTTCTACCATTTTTTCCTTCACGCAAAACCTAAAACTGACTGCACTGGTGTACCGGGTCCATTTGAATACATGGAAAACACTTTGCATGCATTTCTGATATGAAAACAGTTAAAAAACGCTTATAAACGCAAACGTTTGTAAATGCGATTAACCGCGTTTACAAGCAAGTTTGGTGCATTCAAAAAAACAACTGTAAACTCAACTGCCTGTAAACAACTGCAAACAACTATGTGTACATGGACACAGGAAAACATTAGGGAGAGTTCAGGGGCTGCTGAAAAACATGCTGAACAGCTCCTGAACATCACTTTAGCAGCTGCAGTGTACATGGAGCCTTTAAAACAACACCTGCTGCCACGAAGGTCCTTGTTCAGGCATTTCCTGCTATGCAGTGACAACTGTCTTTCATATTTGCTCCTGTGTTGTCAACCTGTCACATATGCCCCATGATGAAGACCAAGTGGAGCTGTGCCAACATGCATTGCACATACTTGGTTCAACATTATTATCAGGAAGCTGGTCAAAAGCAATAATGTTCAGCTGATGTTGCAGCCAATGCATGTTGACAAGAAATGGCTGGAAGAGGCTGAAGGAGATGAGCAATGCTGAGATGAAAAAAGGTGGGAAAAAAGGTGTAAACCATTTTTTTAGGGGGAAAAAAAATGGCAATTGTTATGATGCACAGTGCTTTGACAAACAGAATGTCATCCAGTTAGGATTTAGGTTTACTATAACTGGTCCGGGACTCTAAAGGCATTGAAACCATTTGGTTAGGTAGCTTTTTCAGAAGGCAATCTGCATTTGTGACCTTTAAATTTAAACAGCCTGCCCAAGAAAAGGTAACACAAGGAGTCTGCCATTAACATTTAACCAGCAATGCCTCTCGTGTCCAGCTTTGCTTTTGGTATTACTTAATCTAGGGCTTGACTTGCCCAGCTTTGAGGCTAGTCCTGGATACCCATCATGTCCTTACCCAATGAGAGAACTTTCATACAGGTACTTCCATCAGATAGGGGGCTGATGAGTGGGCAGGGTTTGACTGTATAAGTTGAGGCTTTATTATTATTATACAGTATTTAAATAGCGCCAACGGTTTGCTCAGCATTGTACATTACAATGGGAGTCAATATACGAGACAGTACAGTAACAATACAATACATGAGGGGTTCAAGGGCCCTGTTCCTTGGAGCTTACAATCTAGGAGGGAGGGGAGAGTGGTACAGGAGGAAGTAGCTGTTGGGGATGGAGTGGTGGGAAGAGCGGAGGAGATCAGCAAATTAGGGCGGGGTAGGCTTCTCTGAAGATGGGTTTTCAGGGTGCGCCTGAAGGTGAGGGAAGGTGACAGGCTGATGGATTTGGGTAGTGAGTTCAAGAGCATGGGGAAAGCCCTGGAGAAGTCCTGGAGACGGGCATGGGAGGAGGAGACCGGGGAGCTGGAGAGAAGGAGGTCTTGTGAGGAGCAGAGAGTGAGTTTTGGGTAGTAGATGGATATCAGGTCGGTGATGTAGTTTGGGGCAGTGAATTTTATTCGTTGGGCAATTGGAAGCCAGTGGAGGGATTGGCAGAAGGGGGTGGCAGATATGGAGCGGTTGGTAAGGTGGATGAGTCTGGCCGCAGAATTCAGGATAGACTGAAGCGGGGATAGCCTGTGTTGGGGTAGGCCGGCGAGGAGGGAGTTGCAATAGTCAAGTTGGGAGATGATAAGGGAGTGAATGAGTTGCTTTGTAGTTTCTGTGGTTAGGAACGTGCGTATTTTGGAGATGTTGCGGAGGTGGAGTCTGCATGAATTTGTCAGCGAATTGAAAGAATGACTTCAATTATATTATTTGGTTGGTTCAATTAAGACGCAAGTAGAACAGAAGTGTCAATGACAATGGCTGGAGTAACAGAAACTCTACAAGTGGCCGGGCTTTGGCAGTCAGTCCACAACAATAGGACTGAACCTCATTATTTGCATTTAGAATATGGGGAGGGTGCAGGGGCAGACTTACAACTCATGGGGCCCACGGGCAATAGGGGATCATGGGGCCCCTGTGTCCTTGCCCAAACTCAAAAAGCCTATGAAAAAGGTACCAGGGGCATCTCATGGGGCCCCCTACTGACCGCGGGCCCTCGGGCAGTGCCCGAATTTCCAAATGGTCAGTCCACCCCTGGGAGGGTGGGTCTATGATATGAAATGAATCTGAAGTCTTCCCACCCTATCCAAAACTTTAAAAAAGAGGCATTGGACTGGACTTAGACATCCGTGTTCCGATACTATAAACTTTAATTTTTCTGTGTATCCATGAAACCATTTTGACATGAATCAAATAATAACATTTTATGTGCAGTGTGCCTTTACTGTAAATGAAGGTGTTTGCCGCCGAGTACGTATCCTTCAATTTTAGGAAGACGTAGCTTTTATAAAAGACCTCTGTTTTCTACGAGGCAACACTTTATCCCTTCGTTAGCAGCAAGTGTTTCAGAGCGAATCCAGGCAGAGTCAGGACATGGAGGTATAAAAAGAATGTTCTTGGAAGGAGATCGTATAGATTATTAGACTTTAGGGAAGGCCAAGATGTGCTGGCCTCAGAAGGAAACCAGGGACTTGCTCTGTACATTGATTAAGCTTACAGTATGTCCACAAGGAGTTCCTGTGGGACCTATATTCTAGAAAGACAAGTCCATACACCAGCAGCCTGGGCTGACGTCTTACATCCTGAGACTGAACTAATTGGACACCAGGGCCCGAGCACATGCCTGTGGCAGCTGTGAGCCCCATCTTAGCATTAGAGCCATATGAGTGAGGGACTGTGTATTAACTGTTTACATTACTCCAATCAGTTAGGTGTCTTGTAACCACAAAATGTAGACCTAAACCCTAATGGGATACAATTTTGTTTGCTATAGCACTGTGAAACATAAATAATCCCATGTTTTTTTCTTTTTTTTATTAAATTCTGTTTTCAACTTTTTTTTTTTTTATCCTACGTGCTTCTGGTCTTCTCCATCGTCTTTCAGCCACTTCCTCCCTACATGCACTCACTCTACTGGTGACTGTACAACATTACTCTTGACCAGGGGCGGACTGACAACTCATGGGGCCCCCCGGGCAATAGGGGATCGTGGGGCCCCTGTGTCCTTGCCCAAACTCAAAAAAGCCTATGAAAAAGGTACCAGGGGCATCTCATGGGGCCTCCTACTGACCCCGGGCCCTCGGGCAGTGCTCGAGTTTCCATATGGTCAGTCAGCCCCTGCTCTTGACAAGCATCCTGATAGCAGTATTGGTAGACCATGCCTGGGCAATGTGTGTGTCTGTTGGCATGTGAAAGAGTGACAATACAGGAGTATGTTTGGGAGTCCCAGTTGTCACCCTATATCAGGAAGTTTCTGAACAAGGACCTTCTGGGCAAGATCACCAGATATTAGTTTCATGAAAGCTGCAGGTTTTGAAAGATTGAAAATGACTGTTAAAACTACATTTACATATTAAAATGTAAGGTCACCTTTTTTAGAAAAAAAATTAAAAGGTGGACTAACACCCTATACCCTCCCCGCACCCCTGGTACCCACTGTACTTACCTCAGTGGGTGATGAGCTGTGAGTACCCATGCAACTGGTATAGCAGTCCAGGGATTTGAAATCCCTGCTCTCCTTCCTCTTCTTTCTTTAGAATGTTGAATACAATTCATTGCTATGGCATATACAGTCTGTATTTTTTTTAAAGAAGCCTTTATAAAAAGGATCGCAGATAATGTAGAGAAAGGTTGGCACCATCTGAAAGAAAAAACTTACTCCCAATAATTAACATTTTTCAAAAAGAAAGTCTACTCCAGGGTGGAGCAGAGCAGGGGCGGACTGACCATTCATTCACTTGAATGGGTCATGCTTGGCTGATGCTACACCCACCAACCATAGAAGCCGGCACTACAGAGGAGGCTTATGCAGCTCTTGCTCCCTACTACAGCTCCAGCTTTACAAGTAGTCCCTCTGCACTGCATTCTGTTTGATGCTCTAGGATTGGCGTGTCAGTAAGCCCTGACCGTGATCTACCAGTCACCTGGCCAAGATCTACTGGTTGCTGACCCTCGCCCTATAGCAAGCGGCTTGCTATGGGGGCACTCAAAGGGAGTGGGGGCCAAGAAAGCTGGGGGGGGGGGGCATTTACAATCACTGGGTCCAAAGGCGGTCTGACCATTTGGAAACTCGGGCACTGCCCGAGGGCCCGGGGTCAGTAGGGGGCCCCATGAGATACCCCTGGTACCTTTTTCATAGGCTTTTTTGAGTTTGGGCAAGGACACAGGGGCCCCATGATCACCTATTGCCCGGGGGCCCCATGAGTTGTCAGTCCGCCCCTGGATCAGAGTGATTTTAGTTGGTCAAAGCGTTCATGTGCCAGCATGTGACTAGTCAAAATTGCTCTGATCTGTCCCTGAAGCCCTACAGAAGGAAGGGGAAGCAGAGCAGGGATTTCAGATACTCTGACCGCTACACTGGCTGTGTGGGCACTGATAGCTTACCACCTACAGAGGTAGGTACTGCAGGGACGAGGGGGTGAAAAGGTGAACTTACAGTTTAAACCTTGTATGAGATTTTGATTTAAAGTAAATCTAAATCCAAAATGCTAAGAGGGAAGAGACTCTTGGAGGTTTTCATTGCTGTCAATGTTCACATTGGGGAGAGTAACCTACTCTATTTGTCCTGATGACATTGTCATCGAGACTGAAAATGATGGGAAAATCCAAACTTTTGGGTTGTCACCAGAACAGGAACAGTTGGGGACACTTATTGTGATAACAACTTTTGAAGAGGGCATTTCCACATCCTTGGAGAGATTTCCTTACTGTTGAGTCTACAAGACAGGAAGGGAAGGGAAATCACAAATAAAAAATAAAATATATGATCAGTTTATAGCCTTTCCATACTCTTTACATATTTTGGCTTTGGATATGGCCATGGGTCCTATTTTTGTTTCTTACCTTGTTCTTGGAGCTCTTCGCTTGTCCTTTTACCCTGTGAGGTCATAATGGACGATGAGGAAATCTCCTTGCAGCAGAAACAGGAAGGAGGTATCTAACGGTGCCGTAAATCAGTGAGGCTCATGAGGCTTTAGGCGATGCATCCATGGTATCTCTAAACTTGGGCGATGTGGATGGCGCTTTTGCTGTCAGCCACAAAGTAAGTGGGTGGAGCTTGGTGTGCCCTGCTTCTGACCCACACTTCATAGGAAGGATATCAGCGGTGATGATGGTGATACCCTTCCTCTACAACTTATATGAGCACCTGCATAGGATGACATCTCTACAGTGATTTCCATGCTGCAGCATTAGTGTTGTTAACCTTTTGGCAAAGTAGATATTACTGAAAGGATCACCAGGAATTAACCTTATGATTAAAAGATCGATACATTTTATTTTGTTATTTTTACCTTTAGCCTTACTTTAACACTAGTACTAGATCTTGGTCTCTGCATGCATCAGGTCTTTACATTTGTTCCCACAGCTGTCACAGGTTAAGATGAATGTTGAATACAATTCATTGCTATGATATATACAGTCAGTATTTTGTTAAAGAAACCTTTATAATAATGATTGCAGCTAATGTGAAGGAAGGTTGGCACCATCTGAAAGAAAAAAAAATGGCTCCCAATAATTACACTTTTTCAAAAAGTCTTCTCTCTTCACTTGCCTTTACCTTGTCTTGTCTTTGCCTTCCCTTCCCTTTCTTTGCCTTGCCTTCGCTTTTCACTACTTCTTTGTTCAATTCTCCTTTACTCTTCTCATTTCTCCTTTTCCTTTCTCTTTCTTGTCTCTTTTCACCTCTTCTTTACTGTCCTCTCCTTTATTCTCCTCATCTGTTCTCCTCTTGTTTCTCTTGTTGTCTCCTCTCCTTTTCTGTCCTTTTATTTGCTCTCTGTTCTTTCTCACTCTCTCTCTGTGTTTCTCTCTCTATCTCTCTTGCTTCTCTCTCTCCTCTCTCTCTTTCTATCTCAATTCTCGCTCTCTCTCGCTTCTCTCTTTCTATCTCACGTCTCTCTTCTCTCCACTCTCTCTCTTTCTATCCTGCTCTCTCTCTCTCCCTTGCGTGCTTCTCTCTTTCTCGCTTCTCTCTCTCTCTCTCTCTCTCTCTTGCTTCTTTCCATTTTCTCTCTCTCGCTTCTCTCTCTCTCTTCTCTCTCTCTCCTCTCTCTCTCTCGTCTCTCCCCCTCTTCTCTCCCTTTCTCGTTCTCTCCCTTCCCCTCTCCCTTCTCTCTCTCTTTCCTTCTCTCTCTCTCTTTCTCCCTCTCTATCTCTCTCTTCTCTATCTCTCCTCTCTCGCTTTTTTCTCTCTCTTCTTTCTCTTTTCTCTCTCTCTTCTCTCCCTCTCTCTCTCTCTCTCTCTTGCTTCTCTCTCTCTCTTCTTCTCTCTCTCTCTCTCTCTCTCTCTCTCTCTCTCTCTCTCTCTCTCTCTCTCTCACCTTCTCTCTTTCTCTCTCACTTCTCTCTCTCCTCTCTCACTTCTCTCTCTCTCTCCTCTCTTTCTCTCTCACACTCTTCTCTCTCTCTCCTCTCTTCTCTCTCACTTCTCTCTCTCTCTCTCTCTCTCTCTCTCCTCTCTTTCTCTCTCACTTCTCTCTCTCTCTTGCTTTTCTGTCTCACTTCTCTCTCTCACACTCGCTTCTCTCTCACTTCTCTCTCTCTTGTCTCTCACACTCGCTTCTCTCTCTCTTCTCTCTCTCACTTCTCTCTCTCTCTCTCGCTTCTCTCTCTCTTGCTTTTCTCTCTCACTTTCCTCTTTGTACAATCTATCTATGGCCTGCTTTCCCATTTGAGCATAATCTCACAATTATACTTTTTTATTTTATTTCAGGTTTATGGAATCCTGGTCTCAGTGGCAGAAGATTTGGTGACCATTGCTGAAGACTTAAAAAGCAATACATGTCCCAGTGGGAATCTGGACACTTTGGAGAGCTTACAGAACATCATTCTTCAATAGAGTGTCACATTCATGTTTTTGGCGGAACTGTTTTTACACTTGCATTTAAAGTGTTACTAAACCCACAACAGTAAAATCAGTCTGTATATGCAGTAAAGCATTGTGTAAAAAGGATGTTTGATCCTCTCTTCTCTGATCCTCCCCTTCTTCCAATGTCTCCTTAATGTCTCCTGATAGAACAGAGGCTGGGGGCAAGCTGTACATGCTCAATTTGGTGTGCATTGCTAAAAGATTTTTTTTTTCTCTTGGGAGAGTGCATGTGATCAACACAGAGCAATCAGTACTCTCCAGACAGAGGTCAGGGGTCCTGTATCCTCCTACAGGAGAAATAAAACTCCTCCTACGAGCTGTAACCAGTGTTTCGCCTGACACTGATAGAACTCACAAGACTTCTCTAACTGCTGATGAGAAAAGGTATTTAGCAGTTTATATTTACTAAAATAATTGCATTTCCATGTTGTGTGTACTGTGAGAGACTGGATATAGTGAATGCAGGGTCCAGGGAGACCAGATATAGTGAATGCAGGGTACGGGGAGACCAGATATAGTGAATGCAGGGTCCAGGGAGACCAGATATAGTGAATGCAGGGTCTGGGGAGACCAGACTATAGTGAATGCAGGGTCCGGGGAGACCAGATATAGTGAATGCAGGGTCCTGGGAGACCGGATATAGTGAATGCAGGGTAAAGGGAGACTGGATATATTGAATGCAGGGTCCGGGGAGACCAGATATAGTGAGTGCAGGGTCCTGGGAGAGCAGATATAGTGAGTGCAGGGTCCTGGGAGACCGGATATAGTGAATGCAGGGTAAAGGGAGACCGGATATATTGAATGCAGGGTCCGGGGAGACCGGATATAGTGAATGCAGGGTCCGGGAGACCGGATATAGTGAATGCAGGGTCCGGGAAGACAGATATATAGTGAATGCAGGGTCCTGGGAGACCGGATATAGTGAATGCAGGGTAAAGGGAGAGACCGATATAGTGAATGCAGGGTAAAGGGAGACCGATATATTGAATGCAGGGTCCGGGGAGACTGGATATAGTGAGTGCAGGGTCCGGGGAGACCGGATATAGTGAATGCAGGGTCCGGGGAGACCGGATATAGTGAATGCAGGGTCCTGGGAGAGCAGATATATTGAATGCAGGGTCCGGGGAGACCAGGATATAGTGAATGCAGGGTCCGGGAGACCGGATATAGTGAATGCAGGGTCCTGGGAGACCGGATATAGTGAATGCAGGGTCCGGGGAGACCGGATATAGTGAATGCATTGTCCGGGAGACCGAGATATAGTGAATGCAGGGTCCTGGGGAGACCGGATATAGTGAATGCAGGGTCCTGGGAGACCAGGATATAGTGAATGCAGGGTCCGGGGAGACCAGATATAGTGAATGCAGGGTCCGGGAGACAAGATATAGTGAATGCAGGGTCCTGGGAGACCGGATATAGTGAATGCAGGGTCCGGGGAGACCGGATATAGTGAATGCAGGGTCCGGGAGACCGGATATAGTGAATGCAGGGTCCGGGAGACCAGATATAGTGAATGCAGGGTCCGGGGAGACCAGACATAGTGAATGCAGGGTCCTGGGAGACCAGACATAGTGAATGCAGGGTCCTGGGAGACCAGACATAGTGAATGCAGGGTCCTGGGTTTAGTAACACTTTAATGCCCCCCTTCTCCCAAAACTGGTTATGTGGTTTTGTATCTTCTGGAAAGTTTGATTGGAAACCATATTAAGAGCTTATGAAAGTGGCCACTACTCTCTTTGACTACTGAAACTGCTCATTACTTAGCTATAATGCTGATACAAGGGCTTCATTGCTTTCTAAATCACTGACCTGGAACAAGTACAGAAACAGATCAAGTGTCCTGACTTAAAGCTGATCTCCAGGCAAACACAAATACAGAGATACAATATATGTAATGGAGCTGTTTTACTTGCCAAATGAATTATATATATGGACTTCCAAACCTGAGATTTACACAGGTCCATAACACAACCGAGCCAGGTGGATGACACTGCTTTGTGTTACAGGCATAGAATGTAGAAGGAATACAGTATCTCAGCATGTTCTTTCTTAGCACATTTGCACACAGCACACTCAGTTCTGCCCCTCGTTATCCCAGTTTAGGTGCTGCTCCACAAGGCATATAATTATCTTAAAAAAAAAAAACATTCATACTCAGGTGGATGCAGCTTTGATCCGATGCTGAATCTGTGCCCCGCTGCCTCTCCACCAAGATCCAAACAAAAACCATTGATCGCTCAGTTCTCAGTCTTCATTGAGCCGAGAGCAGTGACTGTCAGTCTCCAGCTCTCTGCTCTGCCCCTCCCGTGCTCACTGGAGCATCAGACTGGGGAGAGGGCGGGATCAGCTGGCTCATGCTCTCAGTGGTTCCCAGAGAGGCTGAGCCAGCTGTCAGTTCAGGGATGTCGGGACCCCGACATTAAAGGCGAATGACTACAGATCATGGATTACAGGAGTGCAGAATGTAGTGCACTCCTGGGATCCCCAGGATGGGTATACCAAAAAGCGCTTTGGCCCTACTTCTCCTTTAATCGTTAGATTTCCCTGCATTACTTTTTTTCTGCCACTAGATGTCCTCAGCCTGATGGCCAGCATTATGCAATCCACTTCCTATGAATCCAGGTTATCCAGCCCCAGCCTGTGACTGGATAGTGAAAGGAGAAGCAAATTAGTGATGAGTTTATCTGCTTTCTCCTCCTATCAGAATGTTCTTTATCAGCACATGAACTGATTGGCTGCTTGCTCCACCTCTTGAACTCCAGCTCTGTTAAACGAAAATGAAAATTCACACACTTACACTGCTTGCATTAAAAAATACATCATGTATTGATGATATATTAATGAATACAGAGCTGAATTTATTTGGGTCTTTTATATCTGCCTGGTGTTCAATTTTAACCTCTTCACGCCAGCCGAACGCAAATCTGCGGCCTCCCGGCATCTGGACCTAGAGGCCGAGCGGCCGCACATTTGCATTCTATTAAAAAAAAAAATGTGCTGAGAGCAAGCGCCCTGCACACTCCCAGCACACATGTCTGGTCCCGATCTCCTCTTTCATTCGGGACCTTTCCCGATCATGTGACCGCCGTGACGGCATGTCACGGTGGTCACATGACCCTAAACTCTGCCCCGCCTCCCGGCTTCTGAAACCCTTAAAGGACGGGGAGGCGCAGGCGCCAAGGGGTTAAAGTGAAACTAAACCCTCCTATCCTTTAAAGCCATGGAAGCTGACATCTTAGCCTTTGTTTGATCTGCAGTTGGCATAGTGCTGCTGACGTGATTGGTTGTAACTTCACCCATTTGATGGCTTGACAGTTCAATTGAGAGCACAAGCAACTGTGACAGTTATTCATGACATTACTTGAATTTAACTGTGTTAGGATTCAATTAAAGCAGAACTAAACCCTCCCATCCTTTAGAGCCAAGGAAGTTGCCATTTTAGTCTCTGTTTGATCTGCAATTGCCATGGTGCTGCACATGTGGTTGGTTATGACACTGGCCATTTGATGGCTTGACAGTTCAATTGAAAGCACATGCAACTGTGACAGTTATCATTCACGACATGACTTGAATTTACCTGTTTTGGAAAACCACCAAATCAATGAGTTTAGTACTGATTTAAATTGGTAGCTTTAGTTCTACTTTAACCGCTTCCCGACTGCCCTATAGCAGTAGTACTGCTACAGGGCGGCAGGGATGTGCAAAATCACGTGTATATATATATGTGAGCTCCCTACCCGTACCACTATTGGCTCCTCAGCATGTGAATCTTGGCCAGAACTCAGTGATCTCCAGCGGAGCTGACAGGAGAGAGGTCTATATATATACAATACAGATCTTTCCCCTGTCAGCATGCATAGGCTGCTTTGTATTGCTCTGCACAGCAGAGCAATACAAAGCAGCTTATCTACATAGCAAAATACAGCACACTGTTAACCCTTTGATTGCCCCAGATGTTAACCCCATCCTGCCCAGTGTCAGTCCAGTGTTAGTATGTTTTATTAGCACTGATGACTGTATTAGGTTCACTGGGGATGTCAGTGGCAGTTAGTCAGTTCCCCCCAGAATGCCCGCCACAGTCCTGCAATAAGTCGCTGATCACCGCCATTACTAGTCAAAAAAAAATTCCAGTGTATACCACCATTTGTGGACGCTATAGCTTGTAAACCAATTAATCTACATGTATTGGAATTTTTTTATTAGCAAAGACATGTTGCAGAATTTGTTTTGGCCTAAATTTATGAAGACATTTTATTTTTAAATTTTTTTTACTGGATATGTTTTATAGCAAAAAGTTAAAAATAGTTCTTTTTTTTCTTCAAAATTATCGGTCTTTTTTTTTTTATAGCGCAGGTGATAAAATACTACTGAAAGAAAGTGCTATTTGTGGGGGAAAAAAAGGACATAAATTTAATTTATGTACAACGTTGCATGACCGCGCAATTGTCAAAGTTTCGCAAAAAAATGGCAGGGCCAGGAAGGGGGGGTAAATCCTCTGGAGGGCAAGTGGTTAAAGTCCTGCGTTTAGCTTTACCTCTGATTTTTGAATGTCCATGCCTTTTCAGATCAGTGACTTTGAACGTGCTGAAGCCAGAGGCAGCCAGAGAGCTGGTATTCTTAGAAGGTCAGTAATTGCAGCCTCCTTATTTCTGTCACTTCCATTCATCTCATATTGGCTTCTTATGTCTCTCGGAGCCTCCAGTGGTGATCTACCTCCAGCAGACCCCCAGTTCTGAGCAACTACTACTAGGATCATTATAAAGGTGTCCCTGTTCCCCAAGGGGTTCTCAGAACATAACACAGAGGTATGATTGCATTGTTATGGCCTTGTGGGAATCGCAGAGTAATGTGGGGAAATGTCCCTATCAAGGTCTTTGTATATAACAAAATAAAGGAAGCGAGAGATTTAACCTGCTGGGGCTTGTCAAAGCAGATATATCAATTTTGGGTAGAGTTGGCCTCTGAAGAAA